GTTGACTAAATGTTGACTGTGATGGATTCCCTGAAAAACAAGGTGATTTCCACACCAGTGGAATTAAATGAAACAAACTGCTGCCTGGAAAGTAGAAAACAACAAATAGTCCGACACATAACCCCCCCACAAAACCACAATATAGTATTTTTACACTTTAGTTTTTGTGATGATTAAACAGAGATATAACATGTTATAAGTGAACTTTAGAGGTGCTGGTGGGCAGATTTAGTTTCCCCATGTCCAGTCTTCATGCTAAGCTGCAGCTTCATATTTAGCGTACAGACATGGGAGTGGTATCGCTCTTCTGATCTGCTCAAAGAGCACGAATACCAGTATGTGTATTGTCAAACTATTAATTTGAGGTATACTAATGCAAGGTCATGCAAATTAAATCAATTGTTGGTGGCGAGTTAGAACCAACGACGGTAAATAACGGTGATTTTTAATCCTAACATACATTTTGACTGAGTGCAGTTTCTCCGTTTATCTTTTGGGCTGTTTTATTCTGCAATGGTCGCCTGGTAAACTCCAGCACTGCAGACAGCTGTCCATCTTTTACCTCCAGTTTACCTACATGGAGTTGTCAAAGTTGCCTACTTGGCCCAGCGACTCCCCTGGTGTCAGGCCGTGGAAGCATGGGTTGTTGATGTTGCAGATAATTCCCTGAATCCAGGGCAAGGTGCCCGCCGATGGCAAAGCTTTGTTTGGAAAATGACCTACAAGCGAAGAAAAGGAAAAAGAAAGACAAACAGTTCAGTACCGGGAGATTAGCCCAGAATACGAAACAATGAAAATACTGTGGTAGCGACCTGAAACCCAATCTACAGGCAGCCGACCCAACAATAATCCTAACATAACCCAAAGTGCTGTTATGTGACCAAATATTGTGTTTTTTGTACAACTGATACAAAATGATAATGTTATCATCTTCAGCCTGATGTGACACATCTTAAGAAGACAATAACAGGAAAGAAAATGCATTTTCTAACATCTCCTTTATGTAAATGTCTCGGAAAGTACAAATGAACAGAAAACATGCACAGGTTGCAAATTGCTGCTCACAAGCAAAATGAAGTGTATGTTTCACAAGAAAGTACACAACTGTTCTCAATGCTGAGCGCCCCATTTACTTGGAAAACATTAAAGTATGAAGTTAAAACATGTGCAGGAAATTCAAACCCCTCGTATCAACACTGAATCCTTAAAGTTAGTCATCTGCAAGGCTTTGTTTTGTTTATTTATTGTTGGAAAGTTGACTCTTTCTACAAAATTAAGAGACGATGTAGCTTTTAGGGTTATACAATATGTAACTGGCTGGCCTGCATTGTGTCATGTCGCGGTTAATTATGTTACCATGTCATGTTGTGCTAATTGCAGACTTCTCAAAGAAGGTCAAGAACACAACCGGTTAAGAAAACAAGAATCCCTCTCAGTTAGTTAATCCTCCTGAGCTGGTTGGTATAAGGCCATTTTCTGAACTGTAAGCATGTGTGTGTGTGTGTGTGTGTGTGTGCGTCTGAAAAGACACTTTATATAAGATCACTCACATTGGCTCTGTTTGTAGGGAGGGTGTGAATGACGAACAGAGATGAGGATGACGAAGAGGAAGAGCGGCCATAGGAGCTCGATGATCAGCTGGATCTGCATGAGAGGAAAACATAGAAGCAGTTATAAATAATCAATGACCTTTATAGAAATCTCTGTGAGAGACTATCAGGACTATCTCCCAGCCCTCTAGTGTGGCCGACACAGAGAGACAGTTAAACTTCAGACATTTCAGAATCAACAAACTATTAAACTACTTTGTGTTCAATGAAAATGTGGCCACCTTGTTCCTCCTGCGGTATGTGATGTTCTTCCACAGCAGGAGGCAAAGCTGTCGGAAAAATTCCATGGCTCTTGAACGGCTACCTGGCCATGACGCACAGCTGGAATACACAAACTGTGTTGAGAAAAAGACAAGTTCAGCAGGTCGTCCTTGTTTTTAAGTTGTTGGGGGACACGAGAAATGTGTCTGCTGTGTCCCCACTTCATCTACAGCTGGGGACAGTTATCGCATTTCATCGTCTTCTCCGTCTCACTGTTTCCTGTCTTGTCTCTCTAATGACCATCAAAAACAAATCATAGAAGAAAGGTTTGGATCAGGGTCTAGTACTCAGATATATGCTGAATATATATAGTCTCTGCACGTCCCTTTGGACAAACACGTCCACCAAATGAATGCAACCTAATGGCAACTTTGCTCATGGGCAGCTCCCATTGCAACAAGAGGAAAGTCCCGTAACACATGAACAACTTTGTCATTCAGCCTCGACTGAAACAAATGCTATTTCATCTCCGTCAGTGTCATTATACAGACAGTAACTGACGAGATACAAAATAGCCAAATTCGACTTTTGTGCCATTTTCTTGAGTTAGTAGATCGTTTCTCTATTGTAACAATGCTTCTTGGCAAGAAATGTTATACCGTTGGAAAGCCTGTTTATTTACCTTTCAAACGGTGCCCCAATTGTAAGGAACATGCATTTGTGGGATGAGCAGCACAGCTGAGTATGTGGGTTGCGCCCATGAAAAATTTGCCAAATCTTCTCTGCCAATGCCAAACAGCTTATTCTGCTGTTGCTATTGACTCTTGTTTGGTGTTTGGTGGATTGGATGATTGAAGTCTATCAGTAACAAGGAAGAAACAAGACATATCGGCAATTTTACAATTTATTCATTTAACAAACAGGAGCCTCAGTAGCGTGTGGAAGAACCATACACAGCCACAACAGCCTGGCACCTCCTCCTCATGCTGGTCACCAGCCTGCTCACACACTGCTGTGGGATGGCATTCCACTCCTCAAGCAGGATTTGTCGCAAGTCAGCCAACGTGGTTGTGTTGGTCACTCTAGCACGAACAGCACACCCAAGCTGATCCCACAAGTGTTCAATTGGGTTGAGGTCAGGACTGTTGGCAGGCCATTCCATCCTATCCACTCCCAAATTCTGGAGGTAGTCTCTGATAAACCGCTCTGTGGGGGCCAGCGTTGTCATCTTGGAGGATGGAGTTCGGTCCCAGACTGTGGAGAAATGGGATTGCCACTGGTTGCAGAATCTCATCTCGATATCTCTCGGCATTGAGTTTGCCTCCAATGAAGACAAGCCTCGTTTTTCCAGTGATGGAGATGCCGCCCCACACCATCACACTGCCTCCACCAAAAGGTGCAGCAATCAGCATAGCGTTCTCCCCGTCTTCTCCACACTTTGACCCTACGATCCAACTTCCTTAGGCAGAATCTGGACTCGTCGCTGAACATAACATTCCTCCACATGTTCAGGTTCCAGTGCAGGTGTTGCCGACACCAGCGCAATCGGGCCTGACGGTCAATAGCAACAGCAGAATAAGCTGTTTGGCATTGGCAGAGAAGATTTGGCAAATTTTTCATGGGTGCAACCCACATACTCCGCTGTGCTGCTCATCCAAGAAATGCATGTTCCTTAGAAATGGGGCACCGTTTAAAAAGGTAAATAAACAGGCTTTCCAACGGTATCTAACGGTATTGCCAAGAAGCATTGTTACAATAGAGAAATAATCAACCAAACACTAATTTCCGAACTTTTTGTTCGATGTTTAGTTCTCTGAAATCTTTTTTTTTTTTTTCCTTTACTCCCAAATTGTTTATTTATTCACAGACCAACATAAATATCTCTGCAGGTTGTTAACGGCTATTGTTTTAGGCACCATTTGTCTTTACATTTAAAGTGAATGATTAAAGTGTTAATAAAAGACTTATTGGCTTTTGCGGCTGTTCTTTAAAATGTGTCAGTTTGACTTCTGATGTTTACGACGGATAAGCTCGTCATTAGTGAGGATTGTGGAAACAAACTGTAGCCGACCTTTCCCCCTTCAGTTCATTCCTCAGCATGAAACCACTTTTAACGTTTATATTTCATGTTTTAGACACATGTGGTGAAGAAAGGTAGAACGTTCTGTGTGCGATGGATCCATCAGGTTGTTCTTTATATTTGTTAAGTGAAGGTTGTTTTGTGTGCCCGGCTGTGATCTGCTAAAGATGGACAATCCTCTGCTTTATCTCAAAAGCCTCCTGATCCTAACAGCTTACCTGTTTCACTCAGAGACTTTCACATTTACTTTTGCTCTGCGAGCGCCTCCAGAATGTGGTCTCTTCCTCGTGTTTGTGCTGCAGTTAGTGAATAATCTGAAGCTCTGGATCATGATTTGTGCCAGGTTAGAAAGCTATGACTAGGCTCATTTCTTTTGCATTTACAAAAGACATTGTGTAACCTTAAAGTCATTTTTTTCTCTTTTAATGAATCTGTTTACACAGGAAAATGTCAGTACAGGATACAGGTACTGTATTGACATTTTTCTTACTCCATTTCCCTTTTCAAAGCTTTATGGAAACATTGATTATTGTTATGTAATATATTTGTCACTCAGCTGATACAACAAGCTGATGTAAAGTAAACGTAACATGTTAAAACTCGCACGTAATATGGGTTAAAATGAACTTACCTAACAGCACTAGTACACCAACTACTTCTACAAATACTAGGCATTTCCGTATTTCAATTGAGACCATACTGATTCAAACTAAATGTAAAATTTAAATGTAATTTAAATGATATTGTAAGCTACTACAATTACCATTTGGCTCGTCTATACATAGTAGCTAAATAACATAATTAATCTAACGTTAGCTAACGTTACATTCGGTTATAGCTTCTAGCATGTTACACAGTGATGGTTGAAAATGACATCTTCGATAAAAATACACAAAACCTAATGTGCGCTGGAGACTCGTTAAACTGTTGGTCATCATTACCTTTCTGTAAAACGGGTGATAAAAGCTCCTTTCAGTGTTTGGGAAACACCAACGGCCGGTAGCTTGTCATTGACTCTTCATTTCCCCAGTTTGCACCGGCAGGCATGAGCTGAACGAAGTATCGCCTATATATGACGCTGATTGGCTAAAAATGTTTCAGGGGCGGGGTTTAGAGAAACCGGTAAAGAATCTGATTGGCCGTTGTCTATGTTTTGGTAACTGAAGACAGCTGATTGGCCAGGCATTGACAGGGCTGTGTTGTGTATCTGCTCGCGGATAACGCATCTTATGATACTTACAGAAATAAAATTACTTTATTAGCCCAAGCAGCATATGATTACATTGTATAGTTGTAAAATAGCAGTAGAGATATTAATTAATAGCATTGTATTTGCAATTGTAACAAAGAACTGTGCTTTTATCAGTTTGATATATTTTTCAATTACATATATTGCAAAGACAACATATCCATAGAGCTGTCCAATGCACACAGGCATGACATTTGTTTTAAAATGAAAAAATGCTACTTTGCATCTGAAACCTATTCAGCAGCAACCGATTCTCAATAAATAACATCAAGAAGATATCTTACATATCATTTTAATGAACATCCAAAACAGCGAAATTCTTAAAAATATACGCACCTCTCTATGAAATGTGGCAGTTACCCTTTAACTGTGCATGATATCTGCTTCATATTAGGCACATTCAGGGAAGCATTGTATAAATGAACCAGAGCACTCTAATGTGTGTGAAAGACACTTGTTGATATACATCACAATGAAAAACACAGATCTTTGTCCAGGTTCAATAACATTTAGCTCAGGCACACCAGGCTGGAAGACACTCAAAACCATGTAAAAAGTTAGTGAAGTCAAAATGCATATTCTGCTTATGAATTATTGCATCTCAGCTGCTGCCTGCATCGTTAAATATCAGATAAATAAAAACAGAAAGCTACCGTCTATCTCAGTCGCTTTAAAATATGCTTCACAATACAACAATGTACTTTACATCTTAAAAATACTAGATCAGTTTGTTGTGTTCAGTGGTGTGACAACAGCGTATGGTGTGCTGTATGATCAATTGCATAATATGTTCTTAGTTTGGCAGAAGTTCATGCAGCTTGAACACTGTGCAGTGTTGTGTCCTTGATGCAGCAGGAGGTGCTCATAGAAACACTGGCTGCTCCTGTCCCGTTAGGAGTCGATATGTTGAGGCTGGCATGGTCTTCAAGTGAATCTGCCCAGAAGAGGAAAAACTAACTGTGACAATATGTCGTAATGAAAAGCAAACATTGGAACGTATTCCTGTATTTATGACAAAATAAAAAAATATTTCCAAGCATTTCACCCCCCCCGCTCACCTCTCCAACAGCATTGGTCAGGATCTGGATGATCTTGTCGTGCGGTGTGGCGACGACACTCTGCCCGTTGATTTCAATGATGCGGTGCCCAACGCGAATGCCTCCTCTCTCTGCTATACCGCCCCGCATCAGACTGCAGATCTGCAACCAGGAAGAGAGAGAGGGACTTTTTACTTTTCAAAGCAAAGACTAAAGCACCACAGAAGAACTAATAGTGAGGATGAGAATAGCGTCACACAGACACAGAGGATTTGAATATTGACTTACAATGCCGTCCTCCACACTGAAGCCCAGCTGAAACTTGGGATCTGGCCTCCTGATAATCGCCATCGTGACCGGCGGGCAGTGGACGATGCTAAGCTTCACATACTTTTGGCTTTTTAAGTCCTGAAATAGAAACAAAATGTGAATTTGATAACTAAAGAAAGAGCAGCATTTAAAAAAAATGTGTTGTCACTATTCAGTGGCTTTGACTCTTGCTTTCCTCATCAATGTTTTCTTCAATGTTCTTGTTGGATGACAGCTAAATAAAACCACTTTCGTAAATCTGATCAGAAATATTATTTTCTTTGCAAACGTCTTTATTCACGTTGCTGTTAGTTAAGTCTTGATCCCATTGATGAGTGCTGTGTTACTAAAGGTCTGCAAACACTTCTCAGTTGTCTTCTTTTTAAGTTTATTTAACTCTTTAAAACAATTATTTTGATGTTTTTCTTCTATGTGAATACAGGATGGTAAACACTGACAGCTGTTTGGTGGCCATTCAGACTTTCATGGTCACTACCCTCTGCATGTGAAATCTTATTTATATACGCTAATACAATACAACAACATGAATAACAAAACATTCCACATTATTAGCTTCACAGTAATGAATTCATGATATTGTATCCATCACAGGTAAATGTTTCAAAGGTTGTGCTCTACCTTAACAGGACGACAAATCTTAAAACTCTTAAAAAATATTGAATATCAGCGCAAGCACAGTGGCTTTAGACAACTGAATGACTATTGATAATGGCCCTTTAAACCGCAATTAATATCTGAATCCACTTTAAAACCAATACTGGTATATGTGCACTCACACTGCATGGAAACACAGTGCCATCTAGTGCATAACTCAGAACAGTACATTATCTATAAGAAGGCAAGATCACTCAAATGTACAGTGTTTGTATTTGTCCCTTCTTACCCGGATGATGTTCTGGCACGTGGTGATGGGCAGACCCACCAGGCTAGTGCTGTTTACAGACATGATGCGGTCCCCGATGCTTAGCTCGCCGCAGCGCTCAGTGGGACCTCCATGCAGGAGGTTAGCCACCACCACGGTGGGCAGGATGGAGCCCCAGCCCGACTCCACCACCGCCAGACCCAGGATCTCTCCGGCAGCCTTGGTGATGGCTACCTGAGCCACAGACACACACACAGCGATGACAATGTTTACATTTGGTTGACCAGTTATTTCCCTACAACCGTCTACACTTGAAAGTTGTCAGGGTCACAATTGAGATACATTGTAATATATAGAACCTGCTCCAGATCTATTGTTCAAGATGTTTTTAATGTTGGTTAGAAACATATGAAAAAGCTACAGCCTAACATGATATTGGGTAATGCTGTTCACATTCTAAGTTAAATATCAACGGTTAATGATGTGCACTAGAAAACCCTGGATAATATCAAATTACAACGTAACGATGTCTATTAATGGCCCCCTGTAGTTTGTGTTAAGACATGCAGCCGCGATCACTCTGCTTACGTCTCGGATGTTCTGAGAGTCAGTAAAGTGGGCCAGGTCTCCGTTATAGAGCTCCTGACTCTCCAGATAGTCGCTGTACTCGCCAGGCCTCAGATCGCTGGCCTTGATGCCGCTGGCCTGAAGAAACTGCTGGTACGCCACACCGAACGCCTGACCAATAGCCTGGGCTATGACCTGGGCCTGGACGGAGAGAGAGAACGGACTCAGGTTGCAATTTGTTAAGTAAACATTCTTCCTTCATTTCCATACGAACATATAAAAGCCAATTGGTTAATTTGCAAAACATTAAACAGTGAACCTAAAACATACGTCACACCCCGAAACTAAAACAACAGACAAACAGAGCATCAAGTCTCGAATAGTTCCCTACTCTGCTTCAAAAGATGACCTATGCCTTTACGGTTTGATTAGTTATTTGTTGTATTGACTGGTTCACTTGCTGCCCATCCGTTGCAAATATTACTTAAAATAAAACGTTTCATATAAAAGGGTTAAGTTGGGAAAACTAGCAGTAGACGCAGTGGCCTCGTGGCCTTCAGTATCCCACAGCTAATTAGTATCTAAAAAACCCTTCCTCCCCCTAGTCAGTCTTGCCAACAGTGGGAAACTGGGACGGAAGCCAGACCAGTTTTACATTCAGGAGAACTCGCTGGCTGTCTGATGGAAGGAAACCAGGTCAAGCTGAAGCTGAAACTGTTGTCCAGCCGAAAAAAGCACATCCGATCTGAGACACAACATTGAAGAGGGCAAAAGATACCTGAATAATGTCCTAACTTGTTCTGCAGCTAAAGACTCAAGACTACAGATACATTGAAACAATGGAGTTGTGGAAACAATAAAGACCATAACTGCAGAGCAGGGAACACTTTTTGCTGTTTGATTTCCTGTTTTATGAAATTACCCTTCAATAAAGTAACTCACATCGTCAGAGGAGAAGACGTGGCAGATCATTAAGCACTTCTTCTGAGGCCCGGAGGAAGAGGAAGAGTTGGAGGCCAGGTCACCATCCTGCCCTTTACGTTTCCTTCGTGCCATCAGGACCACAATGTTGTCAATGTCTGCAATGTAGGAGATCATCTGCAGAGCGTGATCCATCATGGCTTCCTGAGTGGAAACGAGACACGAGGGTGTTAATAATATTATCAACCAAGAGAAGACGGGAAGGTCTGGTAAGAGACTTGAAACTGGCTTGAGATAAGTTATCCAATACAAAGAACACTGCGCCTCTTTTATTTCTTGTTTTGTCAGTTAGATTTGTTATTGTCTGGTACTCTACTTGTAAGCAGAGGCTGCTGCCATAAAGCACTGCATTAATGAAAAAAATCTAATTTAGAAGACAAATGTGAACTTTGTGAAAATGATTGTGTGACTTTAGGAATTTCTTGTTAAATGTTGCTGTTGAGCAGACATTATATCTAAATCTATTAAATCCGAGGAGTTGAAGTGTTCTTTAATGCAACAACAGAGGAATTAAAATAAAAACATTTCTCCTCACAAATGAACAATAAAATAAAACGACCAAAATTCAGCCGACTTTGCTTTTTCCATTATAATTGAAAAAGTCAAGATGCTGGTATGAGAATCAAAACCTTCAATTAAAACTAAGTGGCTCAATGTGACAACAATATTATTTGTCATTTATAACTGAAATCACAAGGTTAAAAAAACAAACAAACCTGACTTTAATGTATTTTTATATTCATAAGTATGGTGCAATGAGGAGCAACCAGCCATGCAAAGAGAGAGCTGACAGAAAATGACCCACTTTGACTCTCCTGACAATTCAACTACATATTGAAAGAAAATAGACTTCACTGTAACTGCAAAGCGCTCGTATTAAATCCCATTCAATTCTATATGAAGGATTCTTGCTGCCAGAGCTCAGCCTGAAGCTGAAACTTTAGAAGTGCTACGCTGCCTCATGAAAGAAAAGTTCATTAATGCACATTTCTGTCAAATCCTGAATCTAATTACGTTTCAGGCATTTTATGCTGAGATAAAATAAAACAATGGATCGAAAAAGAATTTGCAATTTCAGACATCGATGCAGCTCAGGGTTTAACATATTTTTTGTATTTTATTTCCATGACATTTTGATAACTTCTCCTTTTCAAATGTATACAAATCAATATTTCATGTGTTCAAAACACACCTGAGTGTCAGCAGTGAGAACTTTGATCCGCTGGGTTGAGATGAACAGATCCACGTCTGTCATCGGCTGGGACTCTCCCTCTGGAGCCTGAAACGATACCTCACAGTAACAACATCTGCCACGTTTCCACTGAGAGCATCTCTTTAGAGCGTCTCCTCTGTGAGTTCACCTTAATGCGGTCCACAGCTTCCTGAGCCTGCGTCATTCGGGCGTTTGTAGACGGGTTCTTCTCCGATTTGATCTGAGTTGAGCCCAAGTACTTGGCACCAAATATCACTCCATCCAACAGGTCTTCAGGGTCACACGGACCAGGCACTAGAAAGAGTCAAACACAAGAACAGAGACAACGACTTTGTGAAACCTGACACTGAAAAAAAAAAATCCATCTTTCTATAAGATGTGCTGAAGTGACTCACCGTCTTTATATGAGGGATGATCAGCACTCTGCAATGACAGCAGAAAGAGACATTTATGAACCGTCAAGACTGAAATGAACATGATACAAAAAGAATAACATAAATGTGTAAGTAATTTGCATAATTGACTATTTTAGTTACTTCGCAACTTAAAAAGACCTAACATCAAACGACGCAAACCTGATGGTCCTCCGCCATCAATTTCAATTTTCTAACTCGGAAATTTTGTCGGCTGATTAATTGATGAGACGAAAAGGGAACTCATAGATTAATCAAGTGAAAATATGTGTTTCAGTTATAACATAGCATCTGTAACAAAAACTAGAGGTGACAATTAAATAGTATCACTGATTAAACTTCAACTTCTCAAATGCAATTAATCTACTTTGTTTTAAGCTGATAAATCTTTTCACACAAATGTATAGCACACATCACAGTAAGTACTTTTGTAAGTGGCATGAGCAATAGCAATCTTAACATAACTCAATTGGAGTTTACAATGCATCCCCCTTCCTGCTGATTACAGCTAAACTACCTCAGTTACCTGCTCGCTCTCCGCAGCAGCCTCCCCCTCCTCTGGTGGCTCCTCGCCCAGCTTCATCCACACTGGCTCAGGATACTCATCATCAGGCAGGGAGGCGAGTGAGTCCTCCCTGTGCCGCTGCTGTTGACCGTTCCCATAATGCCCCCAGAACCTGTGAGCATCCTCCTGGCTGTAGGATACGGACACCACAGCATCCACGTCTCCTCTGTGGGGCAGACAGGTGGGACTTTGTGGAGCGCTGATCTCTGTGAACTGCAGCAGCCCCACCAGGTCTCTCTGGTGTCTTTCAGAGAACAGCAGCCCGGTGGTTTCAGTGCTGTCCTGTGTTATCAGGGAGGGAGCACATGCTTCCAGCTCAGACATGCTGGAGTACTGGTGCTGGGCGAGGTGAGGTGGTGTCCGGCGGTTGGGTTGAGGCTCTTCCCCCATCAGTTGGAGCTGGCTAAGCAAGGTGTGGATGCGGCTGTGGTCGTCATCACCCGATCTCCTGTTAGCATCCTCCACTTCCTGCTCACCGACCATATTCTCTGCATCACTCACCGCATCCCCAACAACCTCCAAGTCCCCAACCCTCACCTTTTCCTCCACTACTTCATCCGCTTCTTCCAGTTCCACCTGGATGTCCTGGACTGGCGCTGAGATATTTCCCACAAGCTCCTGCTGGTTCACGTCACGTTGAGCCACAGTGTCACTCAGCAGTAATACTGGCTGACCCGGACTCGCCTTGTCCGGATTGTCAACAGAGGGAGGGAAGCTGGGATCATCCAGGTCTTCTGCTGAGCCCGGCTCACTGGAGGAGTCAGACCTCCAGTCTAACGGAGGAGGCTCGATCAGACTGTAGGAGTCAACATCCTCCACCTCTGAACCTGGCGGAGCTGCCACAGTTTGTCTGCTGATCTCAACCTCTGAGGCTTCATCAACAGGAGCAGAACACGAGGAGTCTGACTGATCAGCGGGGCACACGTCGGAGTCCATTTTGGAAGAAAGCCTGTCAGCGAGAGAAGTTGAATTTAAGAGCTAATCAGGAAGTGGGTTCAATGGTTTTCCAACTACGTGAATAACATTGTCATATTCAATGATGTAAACAAAAGCTGCTGCACAAACCTAACTGCCAGTTTACCAAAAGACTGACTCGCGTGTCTTCAGTACTAGTAAGACTAGACACCATCAGTTAGAGCTAGCACTGTCTGAAGTACAACCACACAACACCATGAACATCAAGATAAAAGATAAACATAAAGTCGTCTGAAGCTCAAAGTACAAGGACAACATGTACAATATGGGTAATATAGGGATGCACCAATGCTACTTTTTCATTCCGGATATTGATACAGAGTACCGATCCGATACCAGTGTTTAAATAATAATCTGTATTATGAGGATACTGGAATCAGACTTAAACATGACTTAACTAACTTTGTATCTGACTGATATCCGATATCATATCGGTATCGTGCATAATGTGTCACCATCAAATAGACCCCCAGAGAACACGTCCCTTCACACCCCTCTTATCTATCAAAGTGTTTAATACAGTTGCCATTACTGCACCCTAAAATAAATTGCGTGTAGAACAATGCGGCTTGGTAATTCCAAGTGGCTAAAGTTAGCAGTTAAAGTAGCTCAATGCTAACTAGTTAACATTAAGTGAGCTAATTACGACCCGCAGCACCCTAAAGAGGAGCTCGTTGACACACTATATCATGTCGGTGTTGGTTTAAGAAGCGAAAAGAGCATCGCTCACCTCTCCTTGGTGTCTCACGGGTTCTTTGTGCATACAGACTCCTCTGGGTGCCACGACACATGAGTTACTGAGGTGGTTTGGGAAATGAGTCTTTTCCAAAACTTTGGCTTTATTTTATTCGTCATACTAGAAACTGCAGCAATCTCACATGATCACTTTTATCTCACGTGAGAGTAAAATCACAGAACAAAACCGTTTTCCTGTCATTGATGTCGAGTCGACACTTTTATATATATATTCATCGACTCGGTAGCTGTGCTGCGTTCACGTGCTATTGCAACTTCCCCTCTTTCATCAGTGGACTGTTTCTTCCTCATCTTTCTCTACAGTCTACGAACTCCTGGGTTACAAACAAACCTCGTATTTAATGGAAATTATAAACTTTTAGCGTTTTTTGGTGTGGCTGTGTGACAGGAGGCTGATTATTTGCGCCACTTTATGTCAATCTCAATCCGTCCGACAGCACTTGAAGGCAACAGTTGCACACGTCATGTGGACGCTTTCAGACCTGCTTAATCAAACATCGAGCAAACAGCCAACAGAAAACAGTCAAATCAATTTATTTAAAAAAGTTCAATAGTTTCCATAATCTAAAGTTACTTAACATATAATTCAATTTACATGTCAATTAGCTTCCGTCCAATTTGACCATTAACACAGACTCAAGTTTCTATATAAAACGTCACCAGTGTTTACTAAGGGCTGTTTTCTACTGATTCTTCAAGTGGTGTTGAGTAAGCTCAACACCAGAGGGATTTAGTGAAACTTAGTGAAACCAGTTTCTGTAGTGTAGCTTGGGGACTTTACGTCCTTTAAGCTGGTCTTTAAACATTTTGTGACAGAAATCTAATTTTTACTTGAGTGATTCCAGTAGCCCACTTGTAAAAAGCACAAAAAAATGTGTAATGATGTATTCACTGTTTACATGTATGAATCGCTGCATATGAAAAAGTGCAAGATTGAAAATGAAGTTAGAGTGTGTATCGACATAAAGCAACAATACAAAGTCGATTCACCCCAAGGAGCTGCATCCATTTAGCCATGTAAAGACTTGAAAACTGTACGTATGTCATGTAGGATCTGAATACTGTTTTCTGAAACGTCTATATTGTAGTTATATAGTGTATGTACTTTTATCTGCATATAATGACAATATCAATTCAAAATATATTTCAAAATGTATTTCTTTTTAATGGAATTTAACTTTCTTTGCCACATTTTCAAAAGGCTTTCAGTCACATTCGATGAAGCACTTGTAAGATTGGCTACAAGTCTACTTTGACTATTCACAGTTATAGGTGCAGATGATTTCACGTTCATATATCTGTACAGTCTGATCAAATTAAATATTTGCTGCTCATCCTTTCACTCAGCATTTTCCACAAGTACATATCAGTCATTCAGTCAAAGCACCTGATCTATTCCTCATGAGAGGTAAAGACTATGGACCTTCTGTCCCGTCACCGTCTCCGGCGTTCATCTGGATCAAACCAATCAGTGACGAGATGGTGCCCATCAGCCCCACCAGCCAGTTGGGGAATCGTCCAGCCCACAGGAAGCCGGGCGGCATCCAATGAATGGCATTACTGAGGTCGGCCATGCTGCTGAGGATGGAGAGTGACTCCCTTCGCATCTGTCTGCGGAGCTGAGAGCGGCTGCAGAACACAAAAAAACACTGGTTCATCAGGACATTTTCTTTTCCATTACAGAAATATGTCAGACACTGTGAGAACTAGACAGAAAACTGTAGCTACAACACCTGTTGCCACCTCCATCCATCTCATATCTCTTCAGCTTCTTCTTCAGTAGCAGCAAAACTCGGAGCGATCTAAAGAGCAAACGATTCACATGACAACTCTGACAAGACAGAGTGTTTAATGGCTATTTTCTCCAAATTCAGCAAGTAAAGCAAGAGAAGTATTGCTCAATCTTACACATTATTCTGTTAATAATCAGCATTTTGAAAATAAATAAATGCACTTTGGATTTGTGAAGCAAAAACAAATTTTCTAATTTACTTTAAGGATAAGACATTATTCTTCATCTTTCGATATTTATTTGTATATTTTTCATGAAAACCAACAATGTCTCGGTGTTCCTGACTTACTTGTTCTCACAGTGGCTCTCAACATCGACCCGATTGGTTCATACTGAAGATTTTTAGCATCAGGTCACAAATATATAGTTTCAGTTTTAAAAAAATGCTTAGTAATTTCCTAAAACAGCTGGTCACTGTAGCGTTTGACAAACATTACTCCAATAGGAGTAATTAGTGTATTTCTGGGGGAATAATTTCAACAATGAATTAATCCATGTTCTAGTGAGTATTCACAGCAGCAGGACGGTGTTTGTGGGATTGACTGAAAATAAAAATAAGAATTTTGCCAGCATTATATATCATTATTATATCTTCATAATTATGTATGAATTCCGTATTGATTTGAATCAACATATAAGTTATAATATAATTAATAAGAATGTAATTAATTAATATAATCAACATATAATTAAATGTCAGCATTTCCAGCCAGATTTGATTAGGTGTCTGTGGACAGGTGAACTCAGACCTGAGTATTCCCAGCAGCAGCGAGGTTCCCCACAGCACCGTGCTAAGCAGCCACCACTTATCAGACCTCACTTTGATGAGCTCAGCGTCAGCAGCCCACGCGATGTGCTCACAGGGGTAGTACAGCTGGTCGGCCACGTTGGTCAGCACCGATACCAAGCGCACGCCTGCGTCCTCCTCCTTTGAAAGACACGATGCCATGTTTGCATTAATGCTGCATTTCGCCGGGTAAAACTGTGTAGATTTTTCGTTTTCAAAGTCAGAACTGTTTTCACAGAGAATGATTTTTTTATTATTATTATTATTATTATTATATTGATTTACAGTTTTCCTTCATAAGTTAATATCTGCTGCCGACTGGCGAGTAAAATTTGAGCACTTTGCTATTTTAAACAAAGATTAAAGAGCTTTCCTTTTGTTAGTTTGAATTAATCTGTAGCTGTTGAATACAAGAAAAACATAATCAGTCTTTAATCTTTGTTAAAATGAAGAAGTGTTCAAATAGGCTACAATAGCAGAGGCCCACTTTGCTCAGAATATGGACAGAGAACCCTTTTATTCATCATTAAATAAATCTAGTGGAACAGGAGCGAATCCATCCATCCTTCCCTCCCTGACTGAATGAATTAAGAAGAACAGAGCCGAGAGTTGTTGTGTGGCTGACCCCGCCTCCGATTCCATAGCTGTGGGAGTAAGCCAGCATGGACAGATCATCAAACAGCCTCAGCACCGTCCTGCAGTGGCTGAGCTGAGCAGAAAACAGCAGCAGACGTTTCCCGAGCCGGTGGGATGAAACGTCGGTTTGTGCCTTCTGGGAAAGAACTCCTCCGACCAGCTGTGAGCCATAACAGAACGTCCGGATCTGAAAAGACAAACCGATGAGAGAAGGACTCAAAGTACTTTCAGGAGGCAGGAAAAATACTTTACTTTCAGGGATGAAGTGAAAACTGATTTTTTAATATTTTGAGAAAGAAATTTAACCTATTTTTAGGCTTTGAAAAGTTGAAAAAATGCCAAAGGTCTGATGAGCCACCCTTAATGAATGGTTTGTTTGTTGTGCTAATAGTTTATTAATGTAAATAAATCATTTGCCAATACTTTATAGATCAGCAATAAATCACTAAACAGTTTGAGTTGTCCGGCTTTGAAAAAAACTCCCTCTGGGAAATAGCTACAGAGCATTCAGACCAAAATGCATTCATGAACAAAAAATGTTTTCACAAGCCAGTGACTAGTTCATTATTGATTAATCTGCTGATCATACTCTCAGGTCAACGAAACATCAGAAAATATTGAAACATCGTCACTATTTCCCGATACAATTCCCAGAGCCCGAGGTTACTTAAAAAGCTGAAACCAGAGAGTGTTTGGCATGTTTGCTTGAAAAATTAGCAACATGATGATTGATTATCAAAGTAAATGATTATTGATAAGCTCCTGAATGTCGAGTGAATAATGGACAGTTCAGTATTAATGCAATATTTCAACATTTCCTCAGTCATTTATATAGTTTGTTATAATTATATTAGATGTATTATTCATCATATTGTACTAAATTAGTATTCTATGTAACTACTATATCTTATGTTATACCATATTACTACATTTGAACTTATATCTTGTATCTCATACTATAATATATTATAGTTCTATTGTAGCTTTTTATTAATACTGACAAAGTACCATTATTTTATCATATGATATATTATTCTGCTGTTCACTAGACTTGCTGCTATTAATCACACTTCTGTCACTTTTACCTGGTGATTTTGTCTTTCAGTGCTTTTTAATTACTAGTTTCTATTTTTACTTCCATTTTAATTTTAATGTTATATCCCTCTTGTTATTAATTTTTTACTTCCTCTATTTATCTGTACTTATTTGTGTCCTTGTGCTGCTGTGACAATATAATTTCCCCTCTGGGACAATAACGGTTTATTATCTTATCTTAATGTCACAGAGATAAATGATACACAGATTAAAAAGAAAATTGAAATAAATATATTTCTGTACTAGTAGTTAGTATTTATATTTCAGGACTCTCGGCCACCCTGTCTTAAGGGTTTATAAGGTGTAACTAATACAGAGTGGTGGATTGTAATTCATTTACTCAAGTACTGTATTTAAGTACAGTTTTGGGGTACTTGTATTTTACTTGCGTATTTTTCATTTTATGCTACTTTGTACTTCTACTCCACCACATGCTGGAAGCAATTATTGTACTTTTTACTTGTATGTGAAATTATCAATACAAAATATAAATCAACTAATTGGCTAAATGATTATATATTTTATAGGTTAAGATACCAAGCAGTAAACTATCTCCACCTTTACCAGCTGCAACATTAAAGTGATGAATCATTTTAATCTAGAATAATATATATTATTCTGAATAATAAGTAGTTTAACTTTTGGTACTCAATACTTTTGTACTTTTATTTAAGTAACATTTTGAATGCATGACTTTTACTTGTAACAGAGTATTTTTACACTCTGGTATTACTACTTTTACTTAAGATGTGAGTACTAGTACTAGCCTGAGTACCAATACCTGTATTGTTTATCAATGGCTTGCTGGCTGCTGTTTTCGTGTTAAACGTGTGTGGGCTACACTCTCAGCTGGAATAGATGGACTGTAAAATCAAAGCTAGTAAAAACTAATAAACTGTCCCATATTAACAGTAGATTATTTAAATATAAAACTACACGAGTACTTACTACTTTATCTCTTCCTCTGTATGACTCCAGCAGTCGGACCAGAGACTCCACAGACGGCTGCATGTCTGTCTGTCTCTCTGCTGCTCAAACACTCACGACGCAGTACAATAAATAAACACTGATGTGAAGCTGCAGCAGAACATCTCCACTTGTATCTGTGTATCTGGTCTGTTAGCAGCTGGACTTTGAAACAGGAAGTACCTCAAACAGACTGAAGTAGACGATCAACGATTCAATATAACTTCTTCTTCTTCGTCTTCTTTTCTGTTTTCTTCGTGCGACGGGGCACTGCTGCCCTCCTCAGTTTGTGCGGCATCATTTCTGCTTCAACAACATGGCCGTCAGAAAGTGCAGTAAAAGTATTAGAATATTATGCTAATGATAGTCTAGATTATGAGACATAAAGATAGTGCAGTGACCTTTAAGTTTTACTTTACGAATCAGTAAAAATCGTTTTCTCCAGGTTGTGAAATACCTTTATATACTTGGGTTTCTTTCCTTCATTTGTTTTTTCACCACATAAAGTATTGAAGAATAATTACTACTGTGTAAAAATACTGTAAGTAAAAACCTGTAATTGGCAACAAAATATACACTTAGAAAAATGAATCATGGCATAGTTTATTATTAAGTATTTTTCGTCTATTTCATTTTATTTAAATACTCGTATTTTTAGAATATATTTATTTAAATTACATAAAATCAGCATGAATCTGTTCATTTTGAAAAAAATGTAATTGAATTAGTTAAAACATATGAATATGGTTTGAATATGGCTCTCTGTGAAACAAGCAATATTCAATTGGTTAATTAGTTAATTAATTATGAGATTGGTTTACATATACATTTCGGGAAATGGAATCGTTCAGAAGCGGAAATGACACCGGACTTCTGTCGGCCATTTTACCTCAGAGCAACCTGCAGCCTGGATTGTAACAGGTAAGTTACACCTGCTCTTATCATATAGAATCTCTCGTTATCGGTGTACGTACATGTTTTATGAGTGCGGTTGATATCGTGTCACACCATTATCAATACATCAACCTTTACTGGAATTGTGTTTAGCTTGCTGCATAGCTGTTGTCAGTTTTCTTTCACATTTTAAAAAATAAAATCATATTATTATGTAAATTGATAGTTTTGATGAAATGATTTCAATCTATCTCTATGATATTCTGAATGTATTTGTCGCCCACGTATTGCTGTTCTGCCTCATTTCCATTCGGCTCCATCATCTACGAATAGGTTCAACATTACACTCTCCAAAAAGACAGAAAAGAGTCAAATAAAAAAGGAACACGATTACCATCAACATTTATTTTAAATGATCTCAGATGTCAAGCAATACACAAAGCTGCAGTTATAGTGTATTCATTTTCTATGCAAGCAGTTTGACAAACAATGCAACCGTGACAAGTTTGTTATTCTCAGCAAAGGGCTTATGTGTGTGAGTCTCTCTCTCTCTTCACTATATTTTCTGTTTTTGTCCCCCAGTTTAATAGTTTTATTATCAGCTAGTTTGTTTGTGTGCCAGGCAGCTTGTTTCTGTTCCACCTCAGTTGCAATAAGAAGCCGGCAGTCTTTGAATCCTGTTTGAATAAATGCTACTGGTGGAGTCAAGCAAACATGTGTATCCAGATGGATAATTATATAGTTTGTATAGCTTTCAGTTTCGGTTTTAAATGTTTATATAGTTTGTTTCTTTGTGTGTCTGTATCTCTCTCTCTGTCTTACTGTGTGTGATTAGTTTGGCATGTATCAATAATCAGTGTGTTGAAAGTCATTGTCGTAGACATCTGAAAGAAAAAAGAAAAAGAAAAAAGTTGAACAAACATCGGTTTTCAAAAGTGAATATCTCAGATTACATTTGAAAATTACAGTGACACTGTTTGCGTGGCATTCATTACAGAACATGAAGATCCACAGATAACCCACCGCCTGGATAGTCAACATCGTCGTAAATGTCTCCTTCCCTGCAAAGGAAGACTGATGTTAAACAGTCTGCAAAACAATTATTTCTATTGACATTTCTAGACCTAAAACTCGTTAACATGACATCAAATTGAGTTTATAACTTTGTTTACTGCAATCGTGAATAACAAAATGCATTTATATCAATTGTAGATGAAAAGGAAAGATGTGCATATAAAACATATTTACACTTAAACTACAACGAGAAATATCTCTACTAAACACTCAAAGAAAGTAGAAATAGGTCCTCAGGTTAAAGGTCATTATGTATTCATATAGAGACTAAGTTAAAGTAATGCTAATGGTGGCAGGGCCACATATTAAACTGATAAAGATTCACTTACATTGTAAGAAGAAGAGATCTGGACACATAACCATCTGTGAGAGGTGAGAACAACAGACTATGTGTAAAACAGTTGCATTGAATTAAAATACAGCTGTTACCGAATTGGTGAACCCGTGACGTTTCCTCTAGCACCACCATCAGGTCAAAGTGTTCCCTTGTGCAGTGAAATATCTCAATATCTAGCACATGGACCGGCACAAAACTCTGGTCTGAAATCCATTGTCCCCAGACAATGTGCTCTGTTGACTTTGGTGATGCCATGACTTTTCATCTTGTGCCACCATGAGGTTGACAATTTTTTTTCTTTTAATTAAAACATCTCAACAACTATTGGATGAATTCCTGTGGTTAGGTTTGGGTTACACACATTCATGGGTTTAATTGTAATAAACTTGATCTCCTGACGCCATCATCACACATTACAATTCATCCAGAACTCTGCAGCAAAAGTTCTAACCACGACACAAAGATCATGATGTGAAGTGTTTACGTACATTTTCCAAACCGGTTGCAGCACAGAGCTTTCTTGCTGTTGGTGACCTGGATGATGTCCACAACTTCTCCTTGAGTCACGCGCAGATCCTTGCCTCCTGGCTTCTTTATGACACAATTAGGATCCACCATCATGGTGTGCAGCACCCTGAGAGGCCCTTCATACTGTGAAACATCAGTTCCAGAGATCCATTTTTTTTGTCTGAATGGGTTCTATGTAACATATTAATGTTATTCATCATTTGGACATTGTGCTTCTCATCATTATCGGTTGTATGTAGAGTTCCTCAAGGAACCACTGCAGGCCCTGTTCTTTTCTTACTGTACTTGTCATCTTATGGACTCAGGAATTAGATTCAGGAACACATATTAAACAAGACAACTATTTCCTTTTATTGCTATGCTGATGACACTTTGTTTTATCTACCAAAGAAAAACACATTTCTGGTGTGAAAGTGTGAAAACCTTTTACCTTAAATTTTTTCCTTAACTCCTTCTCCACTTTGGGATTGATGCTGAAAAAAGATTATGATGATTTAGCAGTCAATCAAGAAGCATATAAATACATTTACCAACGACACATTTGCTCATGAATTGCCTCCCGCTGATTATTACATTTAATTAGAGGTAGATTATTCTTGGTTTCTTTCTGTATTGAACATTACCTCATGCAGTCTCATCAATTTTCAGATCCACATGAATAAAGTTTTACATTACACTGATACTGGACCTGCACTGAGCTGTCACTATCTCAGGCTCTCATTTCCTGTTCGCTCTCAGTGAACAGATACCTGATGTCAGGCGGTGGTGGGGGGAAATCCTCAGTTATTGGTTGAACGTCATCATAGTCATCTGAGGACAAAACAAAAGGTACATTGAAACTAAAAACTAAAATGTTATTTTCTTCTTGTAAATAAATACTTATCTTAGTTAACATTATTTGTTATTAGCAAGTTATTGACACTGTGAGAAAACAGTAAGATAAAGTTAGCAAGCTACGCATCTTATTTCATGGAAATATTCAAGGGATCAAGTTGGCAATTTATCTCACTCTTAAAATTGTCAAATATTCTATTGAGCTTTAGCAAACTGTATGGAGTGTTATTGTGTAAAACTCCTTCAACTGCAGTTGAAGCTGTTAATTGTGAACAGTAATTGAATAGGAAAAGACTTTTAAAGATGTTTTACCAATGGCTAGTGGCGTATACTCATGAATCTCTATTGTGAATCCCTATTAAATATTTAATGTTTTATCAAAAGAAAACAATGGATCAAAACAAACAAGCTGGACTTAATACATATTGTTTCTGTTGAGCAATGATTAAGTTAAATTAAACTAGAATTGGCATTAATCTTCATCAGCCAATAATGTTTATGTGTGGTGTGTTGTCACTTACCATCATCCTGAAGCATGCTGCAGATTAGAGGAAACATTACATGTTAGTTGGAACAGACGTGGGTGAAACTGAGAAAACGTTGCCACAAAACCATTAGGTGGATTACGCACTGCTAGGAAAAACATGACTTTAAACCTTGGGGAAAAGTTGGCTATAGAATATTAAAACATTTTTCTCAAAATATAACAAGAAAAAAGTTAAATAGGATTAACATAATCTACTGTATACCTGTCGCTGGTATGGGACAGTGGGGGGTCTGGAGGTGGTGGAGGCAACTGTGGTGTGTCTATTTTTTTGTACTGGAGCAATTTGCGTTTCACTGCTTCATAGTCAACATCCACACATGTGTTACTGATGTATCCATCTGCAAGGTAACACAGCATCAGAAGAATGTAATTTACTTGTGAAACAATCAACATTAACATTTGTCGAAGGGACTTCAAACTAACAAAAAACTTAAAACGTCTAAATACTTTTCACAGTCTCACTTTCTCAGGAGAGGGAATGTTACTCTGCTTTGGTTTATGACACCTTTCATTGTTTTTAACATGCCCATTATTGTGTGATATTTGGACATCTTGCCCTCTATCATTGCTTGCATATTAAATATCAATTACTAGAAAGGTTAATCAAACACTAGAGCAAGTATGCAATACGAAAGAGACTGAGAGGTTGTAAGAGACAAGGCCACCAGGATTTTTTGGTTTTACAGATAGTTGTGTATCATCTGCAGAACATGATATACGTATGTTAAAATGTTTATGCACATAATAACGTTAGAGACACGGCATGACCACAGAGGCAAAAACACCCAGACAAAATGTCTTCAAACTAAAGATCTAAACTCAAATTCGTCCTCATAAATAGAAGAGTACATGCACACCTTGCTTCCTAAAGCAAAATAATTGCAGACGGTACTACAGGGCCAAGGCATATTCCAAAACAATTCAGATAAAATATCGATATGCCAAATTGTTATAAATAGATAAGGTAATGGCAAAAATGAGTGGTTCAGACTATAAGGTTTCTATACATCCTTGATAGAAATTTCAAGTGAAACTCACAGTTTCCGTTCAGCGAGCGAGCCAACCATTTGCCTCCTGGGTTGTCCTTAATTCGGAGGATCTCCACGCTTTCTCCTTGTCGTACGCTGAGCTCCAGTTTTCCTCCTCCATGCCAGTCATGCCGGACTCTGGCTGTATGAAGAACCTCCACCTCCCCTTGCAACTACAGATGGACATAAAAAAAAAAGCTGTAAGAGGTCAACAGAAACAAATGAGATTTGTATGTGGGTGAAGTATACAGTATATTTGAATAACCTCAATGCTTGATATGTTAATGATAGATTAATTCGTTTCCAGACATATTAATTTACATAATATATGTTATGTAAATGTAAAAAAATATTTGGCTTGACCCACAGGTGGTGCATTCTATTAAAATTGTATCCATGTCAACAAATTAAAAAAAGTCTGTTTGATCTACTGAAGTTGGATTTGGAGTGTTTCATGCAAGACAAAGGTTGAAAGTACCTGAAAGTTCTTCCTCAATTCATTTTTCTGACGTTCCGTCAGATTTCTTTTCTCCTGCACCTGTTGACTCTTTTCTTCTTTCTTGTTTTGCTTCTCAGAATTTAACCGATTTAGATCCAACTGATCCCTACAATAGAACAATTCAAATGATGAGTAATGACATGTCACATTTCTAGACAGTTCTTCACATCACAGCATACTCTTACTACATTAATAACGAGCCTCTACAAGAATCCACAGCTGGTGGCTCTGTGAGACTGTACATGGCTGTGCTTGAAGTTGATCACTAACGTCTTAATAATACTAAATATTTTGATTTTTGCATAGTAGTCCCATTACTTTGACTCTCTGGAAAAATGTGAATGTTTGGGGTTAATACTTCAAATGACTAAACATTAGTGTTACATGTTACATAAATGATAACAATCGTCCTGTGGACAGGTGCTGTACATTTGTATTTTGCTACAAACACTAAACACAGTGCATCTAGTCTATGTGCCAAAATGTACAGTTACTGGGATGTTTATATCAAATAAACAAAACAACAAAAACAAAACATGATTCAGCCCTGAACACTTCTCAGTAAGCTGTTTACCAACTGCAGTATCTCACAAACATTTGTAAAAAAAAGTTTCCTTCTACAGTAAACATGTTAAATCACAGAAACAAATACCCTACCCTACATTAAATGCTGTTCCTTTGTGACTTCATATCTAAAGCAGAGATTTATGTTATTTAGGATAGTTTGAAGTTGCCTCTAATGCCAAAAAACCCTAATTGCGAAAGCCTTTTAGGTAATGGTGCTTGCAGTAGTGGTTGTTGCAATAGTAGCTGTTTCGATAGGTGCAAAAATAACAGAAGCAGTCAAAAGAAACACTTTCCTGCTTCATGTCAGCATCTGCAGCCACCGTCTACTTTTAGCCAGTGCAGCGCTTAACAGACACAATGGTTTAATGGTAAAGGCAGAGGGTTTCTACTTACTCATCAATAAACTCATACACCTCATCATCATCCTGCAACAGAAAAGGCTTTATTTGCAACTTTAAAGAACAAAGACACATTCATAAACAGTAAGAATATCAGTGTCTGCAACACTGACAATAAATTAAGCTTAATCGTCATTTCTTTCACTGATATAAAGGAATATTCCAGCAATACAAATGAAGTTTAAATTGGAATTTGAACTTCATTCTGATTGTATTCTCTTGTTTTAGGGGAAATTGAAATCTTAAAATGGGAGGGATTCTCACTTTACAGTAAGTTAAATGTTCAGTTTCGGTTTTCTGTGCTTACCCCTTCTATACATTGTGAACTGTCGCTCCAGGATTCTGCAAAGTCACACAAAACAAAAACATGAAAGGATTGTCTTCCATTTGAAACAGTGGCACATTTTCTTAATACCAATACAAGTTATTATAAGTCAAAACTCTTTCCTTAATTCCTCAAAAGGAGGAACAATAGCTTCAACAAGAAAATGAGCCATGCACCAATAAACAGTCTGCAATTGTTACCGTTCTTCTCAAAGCTTGCAATGTCATCGTAGAAGTCCTGGTTATCCTCAATGTCCCTGCAATCAAGAAACCTGTTCATTATTAAGCAATTGGTTATGTGGCATTTATCTTAGACCACTTGACATCTGCACGCTGCAAAAGTTTATAAAAATGTTCAAACTCAAAATTTGAGTCCCTGAGACGACTAATTCTCTTCTCATAATTTTATTGTGTCTGATTATTAAAGATGGGGAAAATGACATTAAATTAAAACACAACATCTTGTGAACTAGTTAAATACTCACATGGAAGCAACTTGGTGCGGCAGCCCTTTGGGTTTGTTCCATCTTTGTGGCGGTTTTGGAGGACTGATGACTGCAGGTAAGGACATCCTTCTGCCTGCTAAGTCTGGGGAACCTGCTTGGGAGAAACAAACAAACCAAATGTGCAAAGAAATACACGGCTAAATGAGACAGACAACCATCAATCAACAGTCACATGTACACATTTGAAAGGACGGTGAAAAAAAAGGCTAAAATCCAGATTCACATTCAATTTAATGCTCTTAAATTTCCATCAAAAATCTGTATATCTATATATAATGTAGATATATCAATATTTGTCTTCAAAGATATAGAAAAGATATATGCATAGACATTCCAGTGCACGCCAGAAATGTCAGATCGTCTTTCATTTATGAGTTGAGTCCATAATTACAAATCTGTGAGCGAACAAGCGCGAGAGACTCACCGTCACTCTTTCTTGGAGCAGGAAGGGCAGGTCCTCGGTTAAGCCTCAGAAAGGGCTCCAGGTTGACATTGGGAGGCCGTTTGTGCTTCGAAGGCATGCGTCCTTCAGGGGGTAGTGGCCTCCTCAGCGGGGTCACGTCCCCTGCACTCCTCTGTCGGGGCTGCTGTCGGAGCGGCAGAGGTGTGGAGGTGGGAGCTAGTGAAGGGGACTGAGCTGGAGCCAGGGCTGTTTTGGTGCCTGGAGGCCTCTGTTGCATCAGCATCATGTTCTGTAGCATCTCCCCCTTCAGCTTGACCTTGCTGGGGTCTGCTGGCTGGATGGATGCTCTGATTCTAGGATTGGGAGGCGCTCGAGGGAAGGAAGCAGGTCTGGAAGGGATGGAGGCTGCCATCGGTTCTGCTCTCGGGAACCTGACCAGGCCGGGACTAGCCGTCGGAGGAGGAGGAACCGTAGGAGTCAGTCTGTGATGAGCCAGATCGTTCTCCGTCAGGGGCAGTATCAGTCTCCCAAACCCAGGTCGTGGAGATTTTGGGGAGCCGCTGTCTCGGCTGCTGGTGTCCGAGGTGCTGGCCTTGTTGTTGAACCTGGCCCTCAGAGCCTTCACATCAATGCTCTCCTCCTGACAACAACACAGGAGCACAAACTCAACTGCAGTTGGTCTGTTTCTAAAGCAGGAAGTTAGCAGCACAGCATGCAGCAAGGCATGCCCCCCCCCCCCCTCACAAATACACGCACACACACATCGCCCATCAAACGCTCTCTTTAGAAGGTGAGAACGCACCAACACAGTTTCCTGGTTGTTTTGATCTTCATGAAGCTGAGAAGTCTCCAACTCTTTATAGCAGACACAACTTTAAACAGTGTAGTCTGAACAGAAAGATATTAACGGCTGCAAGAAGTAACAACAAACACTGTTAGAGATTGTGATCATTATAAGGATCTGTTCTGATACATAAAAAGTATGTTTCTGTTAAACAGATGGCTGAATGTTTTCTTTTATCAAGACTTTACATGGAAGCAATAGAAGTAAAGGGTGAGCCAACACCGCGAAACGGTCCGATACTACAACTCTCTCTGTCCAAATTTACAGTTTATCTCAGTGCAGTTGGACAAATTAATTTGTAACATGATGTCAATGATTGCTGTCCTGAAAACTGCAGCTGACTGAATACATTAAACTGAAACACATTTCATAGTGACACTTAAAGAGTGACGCTGACCTTATTCTTTTAATAACAATGCTTCTCTGAGACAGATTTTTAAAGTGTAGTTAAGGCTAAGAGAACTAAGAGGTTCTCTTTGTTACTTCCTTTATATTTTGGTCACACATTAGTGTCACATTGACAATATCATGCAAAAATGTAAGCTCATAAAATCGGTCACATGACTCTCACGTGAGCATCTTTATAGAGGGGCGTTTGGATATCTAGTTATTACTGGAATGATTTTATGTTTTTATTTTGTGTTTTGTTTTTATTTTTGTTCAGACCACTCCCCAGAAATTATTTTTAAATGATATGACAGAGTATTTTCTGTGCACCTGTGAAGCACCTGGTTTTGAAAGGCAATACAGAAGTAAACGTTACTAACATACTTACAAACTATCTTAGTGTCATTACCTCTGTCTTTGCATCATGAACCCTCTGCTCTCTGCTGATCAGAAACTATTGTCAGACTCTTTATTTTTATCAGATGTCACTTCCTGTATGGTTCCTAACACTGAACTGCACAGCACTGCTGCTAAGTTGAACTCTGCTGTCTGTATTTGTGAGAGGAGTTTTTACGCTCAGTGACAACTTTAGTCAAATCAAATGCATACCAATAAGACAGCTGAGCTGTGAATTCTACCTTTACAAAGATACTAATGCTCTGTTATGGTCGACACCTTCAGAGAAATATTAATGTAACTTTGTGCTTATTATTGAGGTTGTAGTTTGCAGTGGGGTTGAACCGGACTTTATAATATTGAGAGGTTTTTCTTGTCACATACATTTACAAACTCACCACAAACTATGACCTCAGTAATAAACATAGTTGAGCTCTCTGACCGTGTCAACAATTACTGAAGGTGTACCTAATAAAGGGGCCAAGGAGTATGTATTTATTCACTTTTGAAAACATGTTTAGCGTAGATGAAATTTGAAACAGACAGAAAGTCTGACACAAGTCTCAGTCATCTTGTAAGAATGGAAGTTCTCATTTTTAGGCATCTCTGTGATGTCATTTAGGGCTATTACCCCCCAAAAAAAAAGGGAATTTGAATAAAGTGCTCGGAGCAGTTTAAAACAGAGCATCAGTCGTCAGCAGGCAGAAATAATATCATTGGTTGAGTTTAACTTCTATAGGCGAAGTCAGAAATTTGTTTAAATAGAGCAACGGTTGTCTGATTCAAAAATATAATGAACAAAGAGGGAAACATTATGGAAATGAGAAGAAAGTTTGTTATGAATTAATACGTCTCATTCTCTTTTATGTTGACAAAATGAAAACAGGAGTGAAGGAATTACACCATCTATTGCCTGAACACCTAAAGCTGTAACAAAACCAAACAGAGAGTGCAAAGAGGAGCAGGAAGTGCTCACAACCACACACCTCTGTACCTCAGCATCCTGCTCTGTCACTGCTGCACAAATAAGCTGCAAGCTCTGCTGGCAGTTGTCTCTCTTGATTCGAGGAGCAAAGGAAACAGACAAAAACTTTTCTCTCTACACCACAAAACACACACACACACGACACGCAGACGGGTTCACTTTCAGTCAGCGAGCGTCTGTAGAGGTGCAGTGTGTGTCTGTGTGTGTGTGTGTGTGTGTGTGTGTGTGTGAGTTGGCACTGACACATTATCGCAGATGTTTTTGAAACGGTGTCGCCACAGATTGTAGCTGTGCAGGTGTGCTGCAGAAAAAAAAGTGATAACGCTGAGAAAAACGATTTTATTATCAACTAAGTGACAAATTAAAGACAAAGTCAGGTCAAATGAGATATTACTTAATAACTCATATTGTAGTTTTGTATATTTACTGAAATATCGATGGACTCTTTTGATGTCTTCTGTTGATCTCTGTTAAGACTACATGTTAAGATTTGTGATATTATCAGCTTGTCAGTCATAAAGCATTTTGAATTGCACTAACCTGTACGAAAGGTGCTACACAGATAAAGTTTGATTAAATATATTCAGCTAGTACTAGATTTTCTCACATATTAGGTTACATACAGTCTCTGTTACAGAAATAATTGATTTATTTTATTGTTGGCATGTCTAAGAACTGCCGAATGTACAATAATTAGTCTGGTTTCAGTGGAGTTGTGATGATCTTAAAATCTTGATTTGGAGAAAAACCTGGAGGAAGCACAGGGTCCTTTACAACGTAAAGACAATATCAACCTTTTCTGTATTTAACTGGTGTAGTTTAAGAATAAGAGAAAAAGATAGAGAAGTACAGCAGCACTGAGCACACTGTGAATCATTAACCACTGATAGCTGTGTGCAATAAAGCTTTCTTTCATCAGCAAAATCCAACTTCCCCTCCCAATGTGAAAATGATGTAATTACTTTCGAGAGCAACTGTAGCCAGTCGATCAGATCATGAATTTGCAGGATTTTAAACCCGGTTAAAAGTTTTAAAGGTGATTCAATGAGTATTTACTTATATAACAGAAGGCAACTGAGGTGGAACCCTGGTGAAACAATCTGTTGATGGTCTTTCTACAGCAGTCAGGTTATTCATAGACTCCTTGAGGAAATGACCAGAAACGGTGTGAAAGATGCTGTGGAGGAGTTAGGAATCACTCCATTGACGAATATAATAAAAACAACAACATAACCTTCTAAATATAACAGTAAATAACAATTCCTTACCATATTATGTCTTTAGTGATGGTTTAATGCTGGAAAAAGTGTCCCATGTCCAGCAGTGATTCAGTATCCAGGCTGATGCTGCTGTACAGACCTGTGTCACTAAACTCACTGCAAATGAGGAAATGCTCTGTATGTCAGCATTGGCAACAGGGTGAGTGACAGCACCACAACATCAACAGCAGAGAAACATTAACATGCCGTCAGCCAATTTGTTTAATTTATTTTTAAAGGGTGAGGTTTTTCATTTTGCGTAAATGTACGGTAACATGTGACGGCACTGTGAAGTAATGTTGTCTGTCTTCATTTGTCTTTCAGTGTTCAGACATTTCCCTCTTCTATTTCAAAAAAGAGAAAGGTTTAGAGAAAGAGGTAAAACAGAATTACATCATTTTACTTTGCTTCTTTGTACGTCCTGCATTTTATTCTGCATTATGAGCAAACCTGAAGACATGTTTTTTTTTAAACAGCAAATTGTAATTTCATAAAGAAAAAGCAAAGTAAAAAGTAGAAACCAAATAAAGAAATGAAAATGAATTTAGAGTACCAGATAAACTCATAAAACAGAACATATATGAGCTGGTAAAATGAAACATGATTAATATCGAATACTATCAATTAATAATTGATGATTGATTATGAGCTTTTCGTATTTTCCAGTAAACAGACAGTAAACTTCATACTGTAACTGTGACCGACATGTTTGATTATTTAAATCTTACAATTTTCTTGAATAACAACACAAAAGACAGCAATTTTCAATTCAATAACACTTTTTCCCCGTTCTAACCAGTTCATCACAAGAGCAGATTATGGTCCAAGGGGGGAGATACTGACTGCAGTGGTCCAGTTGCTCCAGCGGGGGAATAGAGGGAGTTTAGAGGGCTGGGGTACCCGTTAACAGCTGTGGGTGAAGCAGATGTGCCTCCTCCTATCATCATCTGGCCGCCTGCCGGGGGCGCTGCGATGCCTGCTGGTGCCCATGCTGCCATACCGCTTTGAATTGTGGGCCAGGGCGCTGCAGCTGGAGCTGCCCACTGATTCTCCAGAAACCCCTGCTGGCCCCAGGGCATGGTGGTGGGAGAATATGGGGGAGAGGAGTACGGAGAGCCCCCTGTTGGCTGTGTAGGGAACATGGAGAGGATCTGAGAGGCCGAGAGCGTTAGCTGTGGAGACTCTGAGAGACAAGAAGAACATAAATTAAGAAACGAAATATTGTTTTGGCCTTTTTAAACTATTGATGTGCAGAAACGATTAGTTGCAGCACAAAACCCCCCGTAGAAACATGATGGCCATTTAAGAGGACCCGCTGTAGACATAATGGCTCATTTTTATTTTCAGGTGATTATACAACAAAGAAAACATACTTATTATATTCCATTTCTGATGTATAGATCTTCTTAACTGCTACACACTGATAACACCTTAATTATAAAAGCAATGTACAGATAATAAAAAAAAACATTAGTTGTAACTGTAAACTCAGTTTGTCTTGATGATTTCTTTGTGGCAAAGTTTTTGATTTGTGTGGTTCATTTAGGTATAAAACCACTTTGATTATGTCTGAATTTAGTTTTTGTATCGGTTGGCTTTTTTTTCTTTTGTGAAGCAATTTATGATGTTCTGCTCGTGAGAGGTGCTGTATGAACGAATATACTTTCTAACGTGGTTAAAGCAATGGAAAGGTCACTGTCATAAGTAATAATAAAGGACGACTACAAAGAGACAGGATGTGAACCTGGGCCTCTAATGTTGAAGACGTAGACAACAATGCCTAACCACAAACATATGAACATTACACTGCCGACTACTCGCACACTCAGCCTGGAGACAAGTTTCAATACAAAACAAAAGAATTGTTGTTTTAACTCCATACATGGGGATTTTAAACTTGTGCCACTACTGTAGCGAGGAGGAGATGAAGATAATAAAACAGCAAACACTTCATATTCCTCTGAGTTACTGTATATCATATTAAAATGTGACTCTTTATCAGCTGTACTATGGGAATGATGTCATTCCCCACCAGAGTAGATATTAAACATGTCAGCAGGCAGATTGTGGGGAAATTAAATCATTAGATTCAACACCACAGTGTGACATGTGTGATGTGTGTGTGACACTGAGTCACTAATGAGATCTGCAGGAAGGAAGTGGTCAGTGTTTGTCTGATGGTCCCGTGGTTTTATTGCAGAAGAGCCTGATGCTTATGATGTTATCTATTTGCATGATGGGATATCAAACTGATAAACTCTGAGCTAGGTCTCTGTCTGAATCCTCCCTCTCGTCTGAAAAAGGACTGTACCACAACATGTTCTGTGCTTTCGTGTGTCCACTCCTGTTAATCGCAATCCAATCAAAACTACAAACTAGTGCTGGAACAATTCATGATCTGTCACTATTTTGAAAATAAATTTTTCATTCCAAAAAGAAAATGCTGTTTCAGCTTCTGAAATGTTTTAGATTTCCTGCTTTTCTCTGAATAATATATGAAACTGAATATCTCGTTTTTGGATTTGAGCATCACTTTGGACTTTGAGGAACTGGGATGGGCATTTGTTAACATTTTCTTATATTTTATAGAAGAAATGATTGATCTAGAAAATAATCTGATGAATCAATAATTAAATGAATAGTTAATTGCAGCCCTACTATAAACAAAACAAGCAAAAGTCTCAAACCAGTTATATCTAAAATGTAATGAAACTAAAGTAAATGTTTGGCTTGAAGTAACTTCCCTCCTCTCTATGTATTTATACTATTTAGACAGAAAATAGAAGGAAAATAGGAAATACACTCATCAACCTGAGTCCAGTTTCTCACAATTTACTGCAAAAAAAACACAGAAAGGATCAGAAAAGCCTCTTCCAATTCTATAATGTTTGGCCACAATAGTTACAAAAAACACCCTTAACCAATGGCTCCATGTTGTGTGTGATGTGCTTTGTTTGCCTGTTAAAGTACTGGGGACTATGTAAAGAAAAAAATATAGTAAATAGGCTACATTTTTTTAAATTAAGCAAATTATGGAAGAAACTTGGGGGGAGACTAAATAAGAAGGAAATGGATTATTATGCCCTGAATTAAGCATTCCTTCTCCTTCCCCTTCAGCCAGGCTCTGTGCTGCCCCCAACTGGCACATAAAATGTTTCAGGTCATAGATGGGTCAAGGAATACTTCACCCGCAAAATTACATTTTTATATCAATTACGCTTCGTATGTGACTTGCAGTTCTTGAAGAAAACCTGGACTCATGTTGAAACTTACCTGGCTGACTGGTGCATGAGCTCTGGTCGGGCATCAGCGGCTCCTCCCTCTGGATGGAGAAGACTTCCATCAGGTCATTACTAACAGAGGCCTGTGGACACACAAACACCACAGTCTGTATTTGTTAACAGTAGTATACGGTTAAATGTGCTCTTTTAGCTGAGGACCGTCATTGTTAAGAGCCACATGATAGCTGACTATACATAAATATATTATATATAATATCAATAAAATAAAAATCGGACTAAAATAGAGATGCTACATCAACTCCTCATTTATTCACGTTTATGATCTTAGAAGGGGAGCAGCTGGCCAACTAGCTCCCTTTAACTGCCATAAACCTCTCAGCTGTTCAGTATTTAGACTTGAAAACATTTAAATTCTGAAATTGAATTTGTTTCTGTTGTTCTGACTGCAATAGTTTATTTGTTAAATTCTCAAAGATTCTCGTGGTTCTGGTGCATCACAGTCACATTGTGTGATATTGTGTTTTTTGTTTATTGTACCTGGTTTGATTGTCCTGAAGAAGAATTTGTCCAGGGACTGAAGACATCCTCAGAAGCTGGTCCCTGCAAATGAAGCTACACTGAAAAGCTTTGTTCCAACACAAAAAGAGATATTCAGCGATAAACCTCAGCAGAATATTTAGTGGTTGTTCAACCTTTCGGGAATAAAACTGAGCTGTTTCATTCTGTCATTTACCTCAGCTGGAGGGACTGAACTGTCATTTAGTAGCAGTAAGGAATTGGTCTGGAAAAAACATGCAAACAAAATTGAACGCAGTGTTGACGGAAAAAAACACAACCCATGTACCAAAGAAACCCCCCACTTATAGCGATTTACTCTGACTTGCGTCGGTGCCTCTGCAGGTTCTTGTGGCGTCTCCTGGTCCACAATGTGACAAACCTCCTCAATGTCAGCTAGGACCGGTTCTGCCTGATGGACACAGAAAAAACGTCACACTGCACCGCAAACACATTCACTGCAGGGCGGCACACAACGAATACAGCACAGAAAGGACATGTAGTACTGTGTGTCGGCACCAGGTTTGCTGTCTTGATGTAGAAGAGGCTGCAGGTGTCTTGGTGCTGGTAAACGTAGGCCAGAGCTCTGGGGTCAGACTCATCTGTCGTCAAAGAGCTGATCCTGCTCCTGTCATGGTCATGAAGTACAGCCTGAGAAACAGATTGAGGATTTGAGGTTTTACTGCAAGAAAAAAACAGAAATTTAGATGATCATAACCATAAAATGCAGCCAGATTTAAGTTGTTTTGTCTGGTTTCTGATCTCAAACGGTTTCTGCTTCTCTAGCTGTTGTGTGCAATTTTTCTGGATCTTGTTTCACTTCACATGGGAAACACTTGTTCCTCATTAACGACCCCTTCTCAAAGGTTTCGCAGATTATAATTGGAAGAAAAATTGCCAAACATTGTGCTTTCAGGAAGGAAAATAGAGATCTTGACTTCTAACTGAGGTGGGATCCTTTATAATCTATCTTTGGTGGACTAAACTAGACTCATTAGACTCCCCCTTTTGTCGAGGAAACTAGAGAGCAAAGTATTGATAAACAATTTTATGCCACTGATCATGTCAGCTGTATAAATATTCAGTTTTACCATCTGGAGGAAACCTGGTAATTGAACTGGAAAAATAGAAAAGAATGCAAATGTTATCGGGCACGAGTTAAGCATTTCGTTTTTTCCATTGGAAAACCACGATGGTTGTTGTCGTTGTGCACAAGATTATCCATCAACCGGAGTTTCTACAGGACAACAAAATGTGGAAATAGATATGTGGAGTGTGACTCACCCCGGTCCTTCCATCCACCATTTTCAGTCCACTGGAGGAAACTTTCAACCAGACTCTCTGCTTGTGTTTCCCCTGTCTCCTTGCTGCTGCATCAAAGCCCTAACACAGATGGGGTATTAAGAAAAACTTTGAGCGGTTTGAAATAGGAGCAAAGTCAGAAGAGCTGAGTTTAAAGTGTGGTAGGTCAGAGCAGACTTATTCAAAAGTGAAATAAATGTTTATACAGATGATATTAAAGCCACTATTTGTAGTTTTTGACTGTTCGCTCTCGCCGAATATTGATTGTCTGATTATAGCTTTTAACGTGTTAAACATTTTGTGGTCAGTGTCTTTTTTGACATGATCACTGGGGGGCGCAAAAACATCCGACTATGAATATCTGTTTGTTTTTTTAACACTGATTCACCCCCAGTTCTTCCTCACAAGTGTTCAGCCCCTGTGGTCTGTTTTCTTAAAAGCTGTCCGTGAGATTGGGGGGCTTGAAGTCATTGACATGTCAGGGCAGGATGTCGGATATATCGGAATCCCACTTCTGCACTGCAGGCATTTTCCCACAACTCCTTTTCAATCCGAGGAACCCAGTCACCGAGACGTTTTTAATGAGAATGAAACTAAAAGGTCTTTCATGTTAAAGTGAAAACGGGTTTCAACAAAGTGATCAAAATTATTTCAAATATAAAATACTTGTTTTGTTAACCCAAGTACCAACCATTATCCATGCCACTGACCACAACGTCCACCAATCGACTCCCGGGACATTTATTGTATCAAATACAGGCAAAAAGCCAAAAATAATAATACTGGATGGATTAAGATAAAATGTTGTACAGGCATTGATGGTCCCAGAGGATGAACCCTACTGACTTTGGTGATCCATTCACTTTTCTTCTAGCACCACCATGAGTTTGACAGTTTTGGGTATTAGTGAAATATCGCAACAACTATATCAGATAGGTTGCTGTGCACTTTTGTACACAAATTTCCCCCTCAGGCGGAATTGTGATCACACATCGTCTCACAGACTAACCAGATTTGACTAAGAGGTGATAGAAGGTGAGTTTGATTTGGCTTTGGAGGATGGACCGACTATATACCTTTAGCTTCATCATAGAGTCCCAGCACATCTTCTCACCCTGGGCGTACGGCACCGGGTCCACGCCGATCAGCTTGGCTTTGTAGCGAACCCCGTCTCCATTGAAACGGGAGGCGTCACTGGGTGTTCTGGGTGCTCCTGGGAAACATGAAGAGTTGAGATAGAGGGTCAAACTATGCGGATAAATCTGTGTCAGGAGGTGGAAATGAAATGTCTGTGTTTATTTGCGCTACTTAGTTGTGTTTTTGCGTCATAATCTGATTAAAATACATGTGTATTTGTGTTTTCATTATGTTTGCACTATCCCTCTGTGTTTGTACAAAATGTAGCACACGTGTTTTTGTGTGTACATATTTGTGTGTGTGTGTTTGTAAATGGATAATCACTACAAGTATGTTAGTGTTATTATGTTCTCAATGTGTGTGTAGGCAAATTGCTGAGCGAACGTCTGGTGCTTGTTCAATGTTTCATCTCATTTGCTGGAATGAAAACACTAATTTATTGATTGTAGAAATGTCGGCATGCGTTGTCGAAACAAAGGTCAGCTCTTCAACAGCTTCACTCACGTCGTGAAAGAGTTTACGGGCTTTTAGTCACGGTTTAGTTTAATGATCAGCACATTTCCCAGTACAATAAAAAGTCAGTCATTGACCTGAGCATGTGACTGTCAAAAGCCAAATAAACTCTGAAATTAACAAAAAATTGTTACTTTAAAGACAGTTAATTCATATTTTTAGTGCAACATCAACACATTATACAATGCCCACTTGTTACTGCAGTGTTGGGTGTGAAGTTTCTGATGTGAGTTGTAAATATTCTGCTGACAATGTTACATTTTTGGTGCTTTTCCTCCTGTGACAGATGACAATAACAAATCTTGTTATATGGAGGAGCTCTGCAGACGACTGACTGAAAAATAGGCAAAAACATATGATGCAGTTGAGAAGACAGATGAAGGATAACATACAATTATCCATCTATTTTTATCAATTTTTTTATTTGATAGTTAGATTTTAACATTTATTTTTAGACTTAAACATATTGATAACAATTAGATATTGTACACTATAAATAAACACAACTTACGTACCGATGCACCAACTAAACTCAAAAAACAACCAGTGAAAGAATACAGCATCAGATTTCAGAAGCTTTATTAGGTTTTATAATCCTCACTCCAGAAATTCATCATAGAAGTATGACTCCTGCAGGTTTACTGCTGCTTTTATAGGGACAGATTTAGGATATAGTCGCACCCAAAGTGATCATATTCTCATAAAACCATTATTGTGGCTAAACGTTAACATGTCTGAGAAGTGTGTAAAGCAGATTGAGTAAGATTTACATTTCTGAGGCTCACGGAGAAGAGAGGAAACCACTTTCTTGACAAACCAGCAAATGTTTGCAAATAAAAATACCTGAAAAAATAAATCCATGTAAGTGGTGTCTTACATGGATTTCCAGTAAGACACCACTTTGTAACTCAACTACTTACATCAACAGTTTCTCAAACAGCTGGAACAGCTGGACACCCTCCATTGGTGCACGTAGGAGGAACAAGGAAGAAGAACAAAACAAGTTTGACTAAAATAAAAAAAACGCTCCTGTTTCCCATCAGATATTAACAAAGACACAGATCAGACCAGGGGACATACTGTAATGTAGGCTGTTTTGTCAGTTATACAGTGTACCGCGTCATCTCCAATTGCCATGTTTGTGGGTAATTTCTTCTCACAAAGTTGGTTCACCAAACTGACACAATAATACAAGAGTGAATCCTCTCTTATTAAAATCACTCCACATTAGAAGGTGATTGTTTATATTAATTGAAGGTGAACTTTTGTGATTTTGCATTACACTTCCATAAAGTTGAGGGACTCATAAGAGACACATTTTTAAAAAGAAGGCTCAAAAACAAAGACGCAGATGCAGAGATATCCTGACTTTTAAGTTACTGTGAGTTATTAGACAGAAGAAAAGCTAATTGAATGGAAAAAAACGAGATTAGATGAGAATTAGAAAGCACGTAATGAGGCAAAGATGTGGATTATGTCGCTCAAATTGAAACATTTTCAACTAGCCAGCTTACTAACATCTGTAGAGTTGATACATTGGCTGTTTGGGGCAAATAAGCACGGACTGCACAAACAGTTCAGTGATCAAATTCCTGCTAATGACTCCAGTGGTGAAAATGTGCTTTGTTGTCTCTCCGAGGACACTGGTAGTGTTTCCTTTTAATTGTCGCAATGTGTCTTTAGTGATGTACACTTTGATGTTCCTCAGATTTATCTGGATAGATTTCAAACCTCGTCATGTATTTTGTTGTAACTACTAGAGTTGAATGAATCAAAGTATAATAGCCTGCCCAACCGTGTCAGAAGAAAATAAACTGTGCATTCAGCAGTTCTTTTCAGATCACCGGTTACAGCTTCTGTCAAAAGGTAAAACTCTGAGCTTAATTTGTGTTTGAGAACCAATCCCAACAAGCAGCAGCAGCCGAGCACTTGTACCTCTTGTGCTGGGGGAGAGCCATGTCCTGGCAGAAGTTTGGCCCGGTGCATGAGAACTCACAGCCGTTTGCTCCGTCGCCATCATGACGAGGTCTGGTTGGAAATTCAAGGCCGGGTGCGTTTCAGGATGCAGTGAGAACAATGTGACTGTCACACTTGCTTGCAATAAAAGAGCGTGCCTCCTCGGTACGGCGGCTTGAGAAAAAGACAGCAGCGTTGATGAAAATCAAAGAATGTCAGACATTTAAAACGGTCAAAGTGCAAAGAAAGAACATCTCCAGATTTATGCAGCGTGTATTCTTGTTTACTATAAACAAGAGAGAAACTGTTTGATCCACCTCACCTGCTGGGAGCCTGTCTCTGCTCTGACCCCGCTGCTTGGCTCGACTCACAGCCGAAACTTCTCAGAGTCAAAGGTCAGGCTGCAGATTCACTAGTGATATATTAACATCTCCTTGGAGTCCAAAAGACATGGGAACTCTTGTGTGAGACTGTAAGGCTCTATTAGGGAGGATAGCCAGTACACGGCGCTGTCCCTCTCTGGGGATGAGAGAGCTTTGGGTTATATTTTCTTAAAATAACAGTTGAACTAAATGTGTCAGGCTGCCAAATAAATATCAGTTAGCTGAAAACCTCTGCAGAAAGGATGGAAAACAATACACGTTTTTAAAAAGGGGCTGATTTATTAAATCTTAAGGTAGCACATACAATGACTTTGATGGTTTATCAACCAGAGAGAAAGAATTTATTGCTCCAGAAATAATTGATGATGAAGTTATATGTCTCACGTGCACCACATTAAATAGGATTCTTTTGTGGCAAAATGTGGCATTTTGCACCTCATTATTCATGTATTATTTACTGCATTTCCACAAAGTTACTGAGGCTGTACTTATATGAGTCAAAGTGGGGCTTTGAGCTGCATGCTAATGTCACCATGTTCATAACAACGTTAACATGTTGTTTATAAGTTAGTTTGAAGAATTTTACCATGGTCAAGACTTCAGTTTAGCGTGTTAGCATCCTAACATTTGCCAAATGCCCGCCTAGTAGATGCCCTCTTAAGTTAAACTCCACACCTCCAGATTTTAACGATTGCTTTCTGTTATATGTAAACCAAAACTGAGATAATCCTGATGGCATCATGGGACACCGTCGTGGTCACAGAGGATACCGTGATACTCCTCGTGAGGACTAAACTGAACGTCATATATAAAATCTCTGCTCCTCTAAAGCACCACTGACCACCACTGTTCATTATCTGAGGAATGTCTGCATGCCTGTTATTTATAGAGCCAGTAGGAAATCTAGATAAACCACAGTTTGTCTCCTTTTATTCAGGCTTTCAGAACCTCAGTTAAACAATCACTGGAGTTTGTTTTTGTAAAAACAAAAAGTCTCTAAACAACAGATGCAACATGTTAATTCGTGAGCTTTAGAGATGCTGGAGGGATCTTTAATTCAGTCAGGGATCGAAATACAAGCAGTGCACTTTCTTAGATAAATATTTACGACCCCAATCACTTGTGACATATTTAGGTTAGCAGAGAAGCTTCTCTGCATGAAGAAACATTTTCTCAGGAAGACAAGCTAATTTGTTTAAAACCCCAGAAACAGGAAGAGTCTCATGTCAGATTAGGCATGGCTTTCCCCAAAATCTCCTCAAAATGAGATGGATTATTTTAAAGTCAAAATTATATTCAAACCCAACTATTCAGGTCAGTTGGCAAAGACTTTAGTGACCTGAGGAGATGAAATACTAGATTCAATCCACTTTGGAAAACAACCAAAGACAGCAAAAGGTCACATAGATTACTATCATAACAGCACTGAGGGGGTTTCACGTTTCAACAATTGCGGGATAGCAGCAGCCACATTTCCCAACAGTGACAGTGAAGATATGCCTCACACAGCCGCCCTGCTGTGTGACATGGGATTTATTCATTTGTGTGTGTCGGTCACCTTATCATCAATTTGGCTGATTTTGGAGCTGGATCAATGTTGGCGAATGCAATACTGAGGATAAGTCAGTATGTAGTAACATAACATAACGGACTCCTGTAAAACCACATTCTGCCTACTGTCACTGAACTCCTGGTTACACTTTACACACTCAGAAGAAGTGTTTATTTAAATTCATGAACAGTTTACATTCACACGACTGTATCAAACTTACACAGAGCAAAGAAGACACTGTGTCCTCTAGACCTTTTATTCAATTCTAAATAATCTGGCGACGAGTCCATTTAAAGATATAATTTGCAATATTTTCCTAGAAAACAATGTATAGACTGATACAAAAAAATCATGAAAGCTTCTCAAGTAAAAACAACTAAAGATCAGATCAGGCTCAATAGCTCAATATAGCTGACACCGATCAGCTAATATGCCCCGATACTGATCTTTGAGATTGGATCAGGCCATGACCATGCAGTCAATGAATATCAGATCGATTGTCATGACATTTTGTACATTTATGTTCCCCTGAGATTTATTAGCACAAGTTAGCATGCAAACACGTTTAAATAAATGATTAACATGCATGGTAAAAATGACACCTGCCAAAAATGATGCTAAAATGTTTAATCCACAACACGTAAAGTCCAGAAATATGAAAACAAGCTCACTACAGTTTGGAAGGGAGCTTTTGGCAGCAGCCGACAGACGACCAACATTTCTGACATGAGAGACAAAAACCCAGTCGTTGATCATTCAGGAAATGAATCTGGCGTCCTGCCCCTACTCAAAGTGCACGTCACATGACAACTGATCTGGCAGAAATGGTTCAGTGTCTAATAATTGTCACCAGCTGAGGGTTGCGTGGCTTGAGTTACACATACAATTTCATCAGCATTGCGACATTAAAGAAAACTTATTTTGCTTTGGCTGTACTTCAACACCTGCAGACGTGGGAGGAAAGAACAAAACCACAGAGGGGCAGAGAGTGTAACAGCAGCTCAACCTGGATCAACAGAAATTCATCGGAAGAAGAAGATAAGAAGTTATCTTCAGGAAGTACACGTCATCACAGTGAGATCTGAGAGATGGATGAAGACAAATGATTTAGAAAAAACAAGAACACAGCTCTCACACTTTACCACCTCCCTGTTTTTTATTCAGAATCCCATAAGCTAAATGTTTTTAGAGTCAGTGTACTGGTCTCTGGAGGTATGGATTACCAGAAAGCAGATGGGGATTAATATCTCTACCATGAACTGAGTCACTGCTCTTCCTGTAAGTGCACGAACATGACATACAGGATGAATCATTTCAGTAAGACAAAGTTTGTCTGCAACACATTGAAACAGCTCGACATAAAAATGAGAGTCCAGCATTAAATTTGCTTTTTTTGATTCAGCCACAGCTTTTATCCGTACCTTATCCTCTACATGCAAGAACACCATCATGTAGTTGTCTGTTATTGAGAAACTGAAATAAATATGAGCTGCACTGAGCTTGGAGAGCAGTTGTCTTTTTGCGGTGGAGGAAGACGATCTAGAAAAAGATAAAGTGGCATTATTTATCAAAGGTTTTATGCTGAGGTTTTGGCAAAATATAAGAAGGCTTCACTCATATGAAGAGTTTTGTTGTTTCTGATGTAATGAGTACACTATGACTAACTGGTAATCCTTTTTTTGTAAACTAATAAAACCACTACACCACATTTCCTGTATCTGGGGATCCCCGGACGCCCCTGCACACTGGGCTGAGACACACATGTTGAAATAATTCATACTTCCTTGAATTTAATTAAAAAGATAAGTTGCACCAAACCAAAGTCAGATGTACAAGTAGAAATATGTTGTTTTTTTATGCCTCGGCACATGGCTGGAGGCGTTACGTTTTCTCAGTGGATTAATGACTTTTCATGAGAAAAAGACCTATGCCTTGAGAGGTAGCCCACGGCTACTCCCAAGGTCCCAAGGAGTATAACGAGGACATACAATAAGGTAATATTGGGTTGGTGTACTTCATTTAGACGTTACTCTACTTTATCTTTACATAAATAATAGTTGTATGTTGCTATATCAATGTTAACAGGAAGTATATTCAATACAATTTTTACATTATTGTTTTGTTTGGAGGAAAGTGGGCAAAAGGCCAGGCTATTTATTTGCCTGTGACTTTAAGTGCTGATTCATGTGTTGAGGTATGTTTTCATACTAAACTAATCCTTAATGACGACCTTTTAGAGGTAGAATGTCACATATTCTGTGTTGCGGCTTAGTCATAGGCTACACTAAAAACAATGTACACTTTTATAGCCCCATTCTGCTGCAGAGACCACAGACAGAGATAATACACGTTAAGTGCCTTTGCAATTAAATTAATTACCTTTACAACATTCAAGAAAATTATAAACTGTGCACAGACGGCTGGTACAGCCCATGATTTACTGCGAACTGGGGGATATTCCAGTCAGCGTTGGAGTTTCCAAGCCTTGGCTTCACTTAAGTGGTTTGTTGTTTCTATAATCTGCCAGCTCCCTTTTGTCTGCAGCAGAGATGAGCAGTGCTGGTTTACTTTTCGGAGAGGTGTTGTGTTCGGTCTTTTAAGGTCGGCTGCAGACAGAAACCGTCGCTGCAGCTCCTCACTGTAAACATAAGTCACACTGTAATGAATGTGATGGCTGGAGAGTCAGAGCAAGCTAAGTGCATTGACGTCCCGTGCGTTCTCGATGTCCATCAGCCTTCTGTTGTTCCTCATAACCATTTACAGTCCTCTCTGTTTGGGACAAAGCTGGAAGAAATGTCTTCCAGATTTGTCCCAAACAGAGAGGACTGAAGGGCAATGACTAACCTTATCCACATGTGCATGTAAACTACTGTGAGTAAATCAAAACCTCTGAGGCTTCGACAGCACCAATTCACACCATTGAAGTGTTTTTGAGCAAGAAACCATATCATCCAGTCCTCACTCAATGAAACTCAATGTGTTCAGAACTCAAAAAATGTGATGAAAAAAAAACACGTTGACCATTAAAGACACAGAAACAAGATTATCAACATCATGACAGGACACCAGGCAGTCCATTAAAGACTCAGTTCATCCAAATTACATTAAATATATATTGTATTCCTGCTCCTTCAATGTTCAAAGCATTGAAATAATAATTTAAAGACATTTAAAGACTTTTTGCAAAAGTGGCATCCTCTTTCCCATAACATATAACCCTGCTCACTAGGAATATTATTATATCTAAAATCCGGAGCAAATGGAAACTATCTGTGTGGCTAAATAAAATGTATCATTTATTTATCAATTTGTAATTTGGGTGAACTGGCCCTTTCGTATTCGTTGTTATTTGATTTGATTATCTCTTATTATCTCAAGGGTCACCATCAAACCTCTCTGATATAAGTTGATCAAACTGTTGCATTTTTTTTTTTTACTGTTTCTGCATCCAAATATGACTCATGTCTAACTTGGGGACAAAAAGTCAGCTGAATTAAAGCGTCTTCTATCCTTACTCTTTTCTTTACTCACCAGCGAGTCAAGTTGACCTCGTGACAGGTTGCCACAACTACTACGTTGTAATGACGTCCACATCGGCGGATGAGACATGAAGCGTGGAACGAAAGAGAAAAAAAACGTGTATCCCATCCATCCTGTCAGGATGATGGGTGTTTCACTTAGAGACAGCCCCACCTCTCCGCTCACAGCTGTGCGCAACGACCTCTGGTTAACTGCATCTGGATTGCTGGGAAGCAGAATGGATGAGACTAGAGAAAATACTCCCACTGACTACTCATCATCCGTTACAGCTGTTTAAAGGAGATGCGCACTCCCAAATTCACGAAAGACCAAATGAACAAACAAGCTTATCGGTGTGTTTCGCGATGGAGAGCCAGAACTTTACGCACGGACCTGTTTCCACAAATGAGACTCAGGTTCAGCATCAACATGCGAACGTGACAATCGCAATCGCTGTACCGATTTTTATGTTCGCCGGAGGCGCCATTGGGAATTTAATTGCCATAATCGTCCTTTCAGTATCAAGACAGGAGAGGAAATCTTCAGCTTTCTACACGCTGGTGTGCGGTCTGGCGGTGACGGACCTGCTGGGCACCTGCCTGGCCAGTCCGGTCACCATAGCCAACTACCTGTACGATGAAGTGCTGAAGGGACGTGTCTGCGAGTTTGACTCCTTTTTGTTGCTGTTTTTCGGGTTAACAGGACTGAGCATCATATGCGCCATGGCAGCAGAGCGGTACCTGGCTATATGCTGCCCGTACACCTACCAGCGGTGGCGGGTGGACCGACGCTTAGCGCAAAAGTTCCTTTTCTTCATTTACATCAGCCACATCTTCCTCTGCTGCCTGCCGATGATGGGCATGTCGAAGAGCAAGCTGCAGCCGTGTGGCGAGTGGTGCTTCATCGAATGGAGGCCAGAAGAGCCCGTGGCCACCGCTTACTCCGTCCTGTACGGCGTCATCAGCCTGCTGCTCATCCTAGGCACCATCGTGCTGAACCTGGCGGTGTGCGGAGCGCTGCTGCTGATGCGGCAGAGGACCGCGCAGCGGCCCGTCACCACAGCCAGCGTCGGGCAGAGGTGGAGTGCTCTGTCCTCGGCTGCAGAGACGCAGATGATCGCGGTGCTGGTGATGACCTCCGTGGTGGTTCTGGCATGTTCAGCCCCGTTGGCGGTGAGTCAGTGCGCGATTGTTGATGTTGCGTACCATCCCCTTTGCCTTTACGGTACAGAAATACCTGAAGAAAAGCTTTAAATAATCCTTCAAGAAACGAAACCAAAGGGGAATAGCCTACACACAGTTTAACTATTATACCTGGAGGTTTAACCATGTCTTAGCATTATGATAAATTCATTATTGATAGAAGTATTCAGATGCTTTGCTAAGTAATAGTAGCAATACCTCACTGTAAAAATACTAAAATAAAAGTAAAAGTAATGCAGAACTTGCGGAAGTATAAATATAAAAGTGTGACTGTTTGATTATTGTTACCCATGCATTATGGCAGAATTGTAGTGTTTTGCTAGACCTGGGTAGTTTAATCTAATGCATCAATGATATGTTTTGTAAGCAAAATCTTAATGTGTAAAGTAACTGCATCGGTCTGATAAATGAAGAGGAATAGTAGTAGCTCAAAAACCCTTCCTGTTAAATACAATGTTGCCCTTTTAGATGGAATTATTTTAAATGCATACTATTCATATTAAACATAGGGGTCACATGTATTAAGCATGCAAAAGCAAAACAGTTTGGGAACCAGTGATGATGTGGTCTACATATTATTATAGGGTTAAAACAGTTCTTGAAATTAAGTAACGATAATCTTGATTTGAGTTGGGAAATCAGACAAATAATGATAGAGGAAATATTTCAGTGGATATTTAACAATTTATTGAGTATCTTAAAACTCGTACTTGCTATAGTGACATGTTTTTCTTCTTAAAAAGGTGCGTGTGTTTGCCAACCACTTCATGACGCAAAATGACCCTGCTAACCTGGCTGCCATCCGGAATGCCGCTGTGAACCCCATCCTGGACCCCTGGATCTACATCCTCCTCAGGAGGTCACTGTTTCGACGGTTACTCAGTTTATACAGGCGATGTAGAAGCACTCGCAGAAGTTCATCTCCTAAAACACAAAGGAACCGGTTTTATCCCGAACCCATGAGGGAGAGCCACGTGTTCACCCAGCTGATGTGCAATGCAAACATCATGACTCAGCTGCCTGCCACCGTCAACTTCACTCCGCACAACGCAGAGAGCCTCTGCTTGACCTAAACAACGAAGACGTGGTTGACACCTATGAATGTCTGGTGCTCTCAGGCTGCGAGCAGCTCGATGCGGGGACTTTGTCTCAGAGCTGTCGTCAGTGGGATGGAAAGACTGACGTCTCTGCCGACCCGCAGCTGGACAGGACCCTCAGGGTTACTGAAAGATTATTTATTTAATAAAAGTAGACTGCTGATCTGCATCTATAGACGACTCCTGCAGTGATGCAGGACAGAATAAACTATGTGACTTGGATGTTATTACCGAAGTGCAACAATAAGACACGGTCCAGCCTTTGTGTTGTGCCTTTCACCGTCTTCCAGCTTCGCCTCATACAATTGGGGCTCTGGCTTCATCACACCTTAATCAGTGTGATGCTACAGGAATATACAGCTCATTTCATCTGGAGGTTCAATTGACCAGAGCCTCTTGGAAGATCCTGTGCGAAAAGTCATGTATTCATATAACAGTGCATGGATATCACAAGGTTTTACTTGAGGTTTTGTCATGGAGGCCTACAGGTAGGGTCATTTGGAGCCTATTAAAGACCCTAGCTTGAGCCTTGGTGTCTTTTGTCTCTACCGTTTTAGACTTGAATGGATCCCATGTTGCATTTCATGTTGAAATATTCAACTCTGTACCTTTATCCAGCAGTGCATGGGGTCAGCAGCTTTCAGTTTTTTCAGGTCAGATTCAGTTTCTGTCGAGGAACATATAAAAAAAAAACAGCGTGTAGGAAGTCAGTCACACACTCACTTGGCCATCAACTATTCTTTTTGGTTTCCTAGACTTCGACCATATCGGTGCTGAACTTACATGTGCACGTCATACACTGGGAAGAGTGTGGTTCAAGGAGTTTCAGCGAAGGAGGGAGGCAACATACCGGTAACTTTAACATCGTGACAGGGATGACGACTGAGCTCCATCTGCAGGATCTTGTTCAAAATGTCTCCCCAGAACCTTTGGCAGGTTTGTTTCTTTCCCTGAACGGTTTAAGGACAGAATGCACAGCACTGACCGGCTCTGTTGATAAAAGACTAGAATGAGAAGGCGCTACTTTATTCACTCTTGAAAAAGTGCTCACATTTAGTTTGAAACGCCTCACTGCTGATGTTGAGGAAGCTGAAATTGATACTGCATTAAATGATTTATGGCCACTAGGGGGCAGACACAACTCAAAAACAAGTCGTCTGTGTTCAAACACTAATAAGAATTTCATCTTTCATGTTTAGCTATCATTAAGCCTTCTTCAGCTCCTGGGAAAAATATCTAGGCTCTCGAGTATGTACACAAACCCCATTTAAAAGTTATACATTCCAGGTGAAGACAGTTGCCTCCACATATTTATCCTACGTGTCCTGACCAGTTAAGTGACCTTTAGATGTCTTAAACTTGAGATAAACCAGTTTAAACTGGAATATATAGCTTTGGTTCCTTGATGCCATTCAGAGGACAGTACACTGTTTCTTGAACCTGAAACCTAAAAAAGGTCCCACATTTAACACCTGCTTCCATAAATCACACAAAATATGACACTGCAATATGGCTGAAAACACAATTAATGCATTCAAATGTCAATAAAAAGCACAAAGCATAAATACGTATACATTAAAGAAGATAATCACTTTGTTCAGTATTTCATAATGCATTTATTCCCCCCCCCCCGACATTTAAAAATACCATTTACTAAACATAAGCAGACAAGACTGTGCATAGCTGCACTTCTGTACAACATTTATGTACCTTGACATAAATAAAAATCTATGAACATCGGTTAAGTAAAAAGTCTGCCTCGAGATCAACTGCAGATGCACAAAATAATAATTTTACAAGTTTTACAAAGTAAGCTCCCCTTTCTCCATTCCTCAACATTTACATCCCAGTTGAAAGCTTTACAGGAGAGAGCAAACACAGTTAGCTCACTGTACAGAAACAAACAGCCATGTTTGTCTAAATCAGAAGGAAATTCATGAATTACGTGTCCTACATGTTGTAGTTTGTGAATTTTAACATCTTGCCCACCTGCAAACAAGTCCCCCCCCCCCCCCCATCCTGTAAGAGTTTAGACTTTTTGCACACTGCTTTTGGCAACATGAGGAAGAAAACACATGAAGAAATCCAAAAGAGTCTAAAAACATTGGCTGCAGCAGCAGACAGTGAGATCAACCACAAAGGGTTCAAGTGTGACTTGCACTGTTTTCGTTTCTGCAGGTTGGATGTGAATACTACATTCTTGAATGAAAGGATTGTGTTGTATATTTGTTGAATAGTTGTTTTGGGATGTTGTGCGTCGATGTCACACTGCTGTATAAAATGTAATCAGCTGTTGATAAGTTTAGATTTGAAGTGTTTTCCTCTGATATTCACGTGAAATCATCCAATACCACTGGGGGGGGGGGGGACGATGAGTCCTGAACCAGATTTATTGAATCTGATATGCAGGTGAAGTCTCCATTTTTATTTTAGCCGTAAAAGGCTTTTTGTACTGAAATAAGTCATTGACAAGCTAATTTAGACTGTTTGTAAAAACATTCATGATGATGAAAAAGAAGCAGATTTCCCTCTTTTGACATTTACAAAAATAGTATGGCAACAATCATCTTTCTAAGTCATCAATGATCCACCTCTCTCAAGAGCAAAGCCCTTTGAAAAATAGTCCGTAAATGTACATGATTTAGCATTGAAGTCTTGACTGCTTATTGTCTAGTAATATTTTAAAGTACTCATATGGTAGTATTTTCAGACATCTGATTCTCCACACAGTAGTAAAAACTAGGATATTACAGTGAAATAAACATCTAAAAGGTTTCTGGTGGCTTGACGAATGATACCCACTCTTCTTTAAGCTCTGTTTTGGTCTTCACCGTCTCATAATAATAATAATAATAATAATAATAATAATAATCTGCTGCTACAGCCGTTAAACGCTTCACTTTGTCCTGCAGCCACTCGGTGCATCCGTCTGGGACGGTGCTGTAAACACGAGCTTGAAGAGCGTTGAGAGCATTCACATTTAACGATACTGGATATGTGCGGCTGTAAAACCAAACAATCAGAGAGACATCTATAGGATTTTTTAAAACAGTTGCCTCTATGAAATGAATCATGTTGATCCATGCTGACACCACAGTTTGTTTGTTATTTATGAGGCTGCCATTTTGTGGTGGAACTTTCTAATAGTTCTGCTTTTATTTTTCAACACCACAAAGTACAGCCTCCAAGTGTGATACACACATAAAACTACCGCAGCAGTCTTTATATAATACCCTAATAATTGTTCCAGGGCTATTGAAATTCACAAATTACAAAAATACAGGCGTTTTCTGGTCGAGCAGTCCAAAACAGCCAACTTTATCTTTTTTTAAAACAGACGGTGGTGATTTCATTCCCTGCTGGAGAAAAGCAGAGCAGCTACGGGGTTCCCAAGAACCTACGAGCAATGTCAGCTACAAACCATCTCAGCACTGTTATGTATAAATAAAAGAAGAATTATTATTACTACCGATACTAGTTGGTCTCTGGGAAGGCCAGAGCGCACCGACCCCACAGAGCTCGTATTCCTCCAGACTAAATAATGTGACAGTGTTTGTAATTTGTCAGAGAAGACAAACACAGCGCACCAAAAAAAGATTAATAACCGCACCGTCCCCTTACCAACATCTAGCAGGGAAAAACAAGCTCACAGGCTACAACTGGCACTTTTACAAAGATTTAATTAATGAGCGTTGTCCTTACAAAATAAATGAGCAGAAATAATACGTTGATTTTTAATGCCGAGACATTTGAATCACCAAAAGAAAAGAAATACCCTTCTATTGTTGCAGTGAGACACTCAGCCTGCAGAGGTCCTACAATAAAAGCAAGTGACTGATGTTTCCTAAATGAAATAGTTCTTCAAGCAGTAAAAAGGTTTTTCAATAATAAATGATTAGTTAGCAGTTTTGCAGACAGAAAACAATAGTGATGATCAACCTTTTTCAATTACAGTTGAATCTTTAATTGCAAAAGCAAACCTGTGATTCCATGCATGAATCTGTCCCGTTAAAGTAAAACACCGTGACTTTAAAGTCACTTGACAGACAATCTGCAGAACAAATGTTGTGGTTTGAAGATGTGCAAACTGGAACCAGGCCTCTGTTTAAAAAAAACTAAAACACGCAGCTTTGGTTCAGGCTGAAAAAGTAAACCAGGAGAGAAAATCTCACTCTGCCCGAGAAGCTTCGCAAATCAATAAATACCAAAAATCAATTTAGAAAATGGTTCATCTCAAAACTATGAATTTTAACATCTCTATTACATTTGTACATGGTTAGAGTCCCTAAGAAAGATGAAACGTGAGAATTCCTACAGTATGCATACTGATGGGACGCTTTGTTTTGGTAAATCAAAAAATGTAACTTTTACATTTATGCTCCATGATAACAAACGGTGAACTGAATTGTTACGTTGGGGAGAAGGACATATGTGAGGTCACTGTAAGGTCATTGACAGTTCTGGGTGAAGAACTGGTCTCACTCTGAAAGTGTATCTTAGTTCAAAGACATGGAGGCCGAGTGTGTGTGTGTGTGTGTGTGATGAAAAGATGGCAGTTAAAAACACTTGCTGACAAGTGTGACTGAATGTTAACTGATCCGCTTGTGCAACAAGTACTCGAGCATCAGCTTCTTGTGGACGCGATGTTGGGATTTTGGGCATTTTTGTTCATCAGGCACTTGTAACTTTGAGGGGCGTTGGAAAGTGAGTGCAGTCTAAATGCTACTGTTGCCGTGCTAACATGCTCACAATGACGATGCTAACATGCTGATATTTACCATGTATATTCACCATGTTAGATTAGCATGCTAGTATGCTAACATTAGCAGTAAACACAAAGTACAGCTGAGGCTGATGGGAACTGTCATTAGTTATGCAGGAACTCAGTTATGGACACAAGTGTTGGACACACTTTGACCTGCTGGTGGCGCTAGAACAATTCATCCAAAGGTTTAAACAGTATTTCACTTAAAACCACAAACATCAACCTCTTGGTGGCACCAGAAGAGAAGTCAGAGTGATTTATCATCTGGGGACCATGAATATCTGGTGGTGGACATTGCCATTCATGGAGCCACGGTGCTAGCATGGGGAAAAACACCTACTTAGTTTATTATTATGTCATCAGGCCAAATCTACAATTTCTTAAGTGAGTGTCTGCTGAAGTCCCATCTGCAACACGGTTTATCCACTGAGGACAACGACTCAAACACATCGTTTCTCCTCACATCATTACAGGTGCCTCATGTAGAAAAATGACGTATGCCAAGACCCTCCACTGAGATTTGTTTGGAACAGAATGTAACATGACTGTTGTTTCGGTGCAAGTTAGCGCTCACATTTCATAATTACAGCCGAGAACCTTTTCTCTGAAAGTATACAAAATAACCCAAAATCCAAAATGATGTCTGGTTGTAAAAACAAAACATTTCCAGACAGTACGGTGCAAATCATTCATCACTACCTTCTGCATGTCCAGCTGCTGTGACACATTTCTGTGTGTGTGTGTGTGTGTGTGTGTGTGTGGACAACATGGCTGAATCTGTCACCAAACTGTCTGGAAACAGGGGATTTAAGTTGTGTTTCCTCTCGGACCATCACATACAGGCGGTACCAAGCTAATAAATAAACGAGGACACACAGCGAAGCCGTCAGAAAGTGAAGTTTAGAAACGGAGGAGCGTGGGAGAGGTCACGTCACTGGCCATCTCATTCTTCCTATCCACAACAAACAGCACTTGCCTTCAGTCTCGTGTTTGGAGCCGGGACACAGGGGGGGGCTACACAGTAATGTCTGCGACAGCCCCCCAGATTGAGGACAGACTCCTCCCTTCACACCACGTACTGGTGGTTGCTGTTGTAGTTTGTCGTGTAGGCCTGCCGGCTGTACTGGAAGTGGTCGGTCAGCACGTTGTTCCAGTTGTGCTGCTGCTCTGAACCATGGGAGAAAGGCACTGACCCATTGGCCTGGACCTTCTCCAGCGCCGGGTTGTCAAAGGAGACCAGGTCCTGATTGGTGCTCGGCAGCTTCTTCTTCTCCTTGTTAGCGTCATACTTGGCCTGTTGGCAGAGGGAGAGAAGGGCAAATGGATATTAAATGACAGGGTGTCTTTGGTTCTCTGGCACTGCACCGTGGATCATAAATAGTTTGGGTGGGTCAAATGTTTCTCCAAGAGGAAGCGTAACTTCACGTTTTACATTTCAGTTGGACGGAGAGCGAAAGATAAAGAAAGCTGCTTTCCGTCAGTTTAAGAAAGAACAAGTGTGAATGGATTAAAGTGCAGTGAACATAAAGAGCACAAAGTGGCGGCTGGATGCTCTGGAAAAGAATGCATTATTATGCAAAGTTACCACAAAGTAAGGCCAAGGCAGCAAGAATAACCTCCATAAATGTCTACAACATCATCTACTGATATTAGTTTGTCACACGTACAATGGTGGAGATGGCTGATGAAGAGTTTTCAGTCAAAAGGGAACAACGGAAGATAAATTATTCTCGTCTCCTTTAACTTCTGCCTCTCCTCTTTCCTAGTTCCAAGTGGTCAGGCTGACTCACCTTGTTGTAGAGGAAGACCCCGACAATGGCCGTCATCATGCCCATGACGTTTGTGAGGGAGACCGGGTTGCGCAGCATCAGCAGCGAGATGCTAATGACCATGATCCTCTTGGTGGCGTTGGCGACGGCGTAGCTGAGCGGGCTGACGATGTTCAGCACGCTGAAGGCGATGACGTTCTGAGCGAAGTTGCAGAAGCCACTGATGAGCAGGAGGACAAACGTACCCGTCCACCCGGAGACGTCTGCCTGTAAGGAAAGCAGCGAGGGTCAGGCTACGTTCAGGGTCATGAAACAAGCTCCCACCACCGCAACAGGCGGTGTAAATGTCACGAGAAAGACGGTACCGCTACTCACCAGATCTCCGTTAACAAGAAACACTGAGAGATCCACCAGAACCCAGGTGGGCACCATGAAGATAACAGCATTAAAGCCCAGGATGTTGAGCAGCCTCAAGTGGTGGATATTTGTGTCACGCAGCACCTATAGAGAGGAAGGATCAGTTCAGAACAATGTGGTAGAAAAATAAACAACTGCTCCAGCGAAGGAGATGAAGATGTATAGATTTGGGGTTTTTATTGTTACGATACTTCCTGTTCCTCCACTACGACCTTAATCAACGTGATTTTGCTATTTCACTTTGATGTTATAAAAAGAAAACGATCACCGAGTCAGAAGGAAGATTTATGCAAGGGTCAGTAAAATGCAGCAACCGGACACATACGGTCATAATCTAAAGAGAAACACTTTTAAGATGATAGTTAGTGGTCACATGTGGAATCGAGTTGCTCCTCCTGCCACTTCCCTTTTAAAACAGTCACACACAACTTCACAAACCAGGACGTCAGTTTCAGGCGTTTCACAGCAAACCACCAAGAAGTAATCATGTTTCATTTACCCTCCTCCCCTCATCATGTGGCACACACACACACCAGCCCGACAACGAGTTACCTTCTTGGAGAAGATGTTCTGCAGAGAGAAGCAGAGCGTGGCAGCCAGAGCACTGATGAGTCCGGAAACATCAAAGGACAGCTCAGTGGCTGTGGCCAGCAGCACTCCTCCAATGATGGGGATGAGCGACACGTAAACCTACAAGGACCACAGAGACGGAGGGCAGAGTCAGTGGAAACCAAGAGAAACAACACTTTACAGTTTATATCAAAACATCGTTTGAAAAATCAGGGATTGTTTCCCAATCAAGGTAATTGTTAGTAGCACCCCTCCTCAAATCAGTGAGAAAATAAAAGTTAGATTATTTGAACACCAACAAATCATTTTCACAGAACCTCTGGTTTTCTGCATAGAAACTGTATTTCCAACATTCCCTTGAGCCTTAAATTCAAAGCACAGCCTCATTTTAATCTCCTGAAGAAAAGTGGAAATACGATCCCCTCTATCCGAGACCACACACACACACCTCACAGGTCTTATTTGCATTTTGAAAATGTTGGATCATGATAAATGAAACATGCAGTTATTATAAAACCCACTTATGCATCCACTCACTCACCCACTCTCCTCTCCTCAAACCAACCACACATGTGACACTGAGAAAAACCTGCTCTGATGCTTTACTGCCATCAAAACATCACACTGCCCTCAGCTTTATTGTCCATGCAAGTGGTCTCATACATAAAATTCAGAAACAAGCAACAATAAAGAGGATCTCTGTAGTAAGAAGTAAGAAAGAAGTGGTTTGGAACTTGTCTCTGTGGACTGTGTCTTTAAGCATCTCTGTCCTTTGTGGGTTGATGATTAAACGTTTTCAAACAGGATGTGCTGCGAGAAACAAACTTTGCGTAACAACTTGTTAAAAACAGCTTAATACTATCTCCTGCTAACACACCGATCACGCTGATGGATCAGAGGACTTTTAACTCGGCTGGTTTTCTTCTTTGTAACCCTGAAAATGAAGAGAGGCCTCGGCTATTTCGGCCGAGACACAGATTTCTGTCCCATTTCACGTTTACCAACTTATTTTGGAAATTCATCCTGAAGGCTTTTTGCACTCAAAAGGAAAAGTTGGATACGATACGAATGTTTAGTCCTGTGTACTCTGTTCTTTAGAAAATCTACAGTGTCCACTTTATTAGGTACACTTGTGCACTCTAACGCAATCCAATACAACAGGTCTACCATAAACTCTTTTATGATGCTTGTTTTTTACGCTGTCATGTGGCTGCTGAGTATATTTTATACACTTTATGATGTTTGAACATCCGTCATTTAACAAAGCCGAGTCCAGTACAAACACTCAACTGAAATGTTTTTTTACAAAGTAGTAGTCAGTGGTCGGAAGGTTCTTCAGCACAGCAGAGAGTGGCCTGCTGCTCCTCAAACAAGATCTCTTCACGCACGCACGTCATCAACACCTACGTTCCGGCCTGTGAACCCGGCCTGTCTGAACACTGAACTGTACGGTAAACATGACGAGCTGATGTGAGACTCAGCAGGTTTCCTCATTCACATTTAGCAAACCTAGACTGTAAGATGTAGCTTTATTCCAGAGATGTCAAACGTTGCCCTCATTAAGCAGCAATAGACAAATTCCTTTGACGCATACATGAAGCTGATTCTGATTAAGATAACTCTTGATAAACTTAATTACATCGACTCAAGTTGATCGACCAAGTATAAATCCCTCTGATGTTTATCGTCACTCCTGTTGTACAACTTTGTGAAATGCTTTTCGCTGGGAGGAACCAAGAAAGAAAGAAAAAAAATAGTAATAAAAGACATAACGTATCATAACAAAATAAAGAATTAAAAATATACATTAAAGAAAAACAAAATGATTGCAATCAATGCATTAACATAAGAAAAATGTAAAAAATGACCCTAATAAATAGCCCAAAACCTAAAAGAAATCACTTCAAACTTTACACTAGCAAGTCACCTTCCTCTTACAGCGTCATCTTAGGAATCTAAATAATCTAAATCTAACAATGAGTGTACGCACCTTACAGGTTATTTGTCTTCTAATAAATGACAGCTCTGAGCCAGAAAATCTAGTTCTCATTTAACTCTATTTAACTCTGCACAGGAAATGTTGAACCACGTGCAGCCTTTCCACCAGCAGCACACAGCATACCAGAGACAGACAAGCAGCAACACAAACCCAGTTGGCTCCTATAGTATGAAAAGTAGTGAGTGAATTTGGGGATTTAACAGGTGAATATGGATGACTTGTGAAAATATGACCTGACCTCCAACCCCCCCAAAAAATAACATCTGACCAACTTCAAGGACTAATATGTAACACGAGGCGCAGCACTGTGCCACATCACCACCGCTGACACGCGGCCTGAGGCTGGAACAGAGCGAGCCTTGTGCCTCGTTTACCGTCGGACTGACTCACCTTTGTGGTTTGCTTCTCCTTCATGATGATTCTTGATAACAGCACCACCCATATTGGCATTGTAGCTTTGACTGTGTGAGGAAAGAACAAAAGAAGCATAAGAATCAGTTTGTAATGCCATTCAGCAGCAGCAGGTAGAGAGCACTAGAGTAAATAAGTTTGGAGAATGAAATGCTCCTACATCAAACACAACGCTATTGCACGGCGTCACTGAGTGTTTCTGGTGTGTGTTACCAACAATGACAGAGCTTTACTCAAGATTGGAGACACCCTGATCATTTAAAAAAGTACTAAAAAGGATCAACAAGACATACTTTCAGACTGTAAAACATCAAAACTAGATTCAGCACTGCCATCCACAAGTGAAGCAGCTTTCAAAAGTTTACAGATATATTGACATTACAACTGTGACTCTCAAATAGTGTCGGAGGTCAAAACAGATAAAAAATACTTGTATCTGAAGCCTACTTACTACTATTATATTTATAGGTTATAGTTACTTAGATGCCGGTTTATTATCTACATCTAGCTAAAACAAATGCAGTAAATATGAAGGGTGTAATGTTTATTTATGAGGCTGTAGTTGTGTCATGGTGCTGTTGAACTTTATGACATTGGTGGTATTTCAAATAGGCGAGATGAGGGACGATGTATTTCTGTGGGCTGACTGCTGAAGTGAGCCTCGCACTGGTTTCCTCAACACCACACCACACCACTGGGATTTCTCCTCTGGATTTTGGAATATTGCAGAAAATAAGCTCTGAGGCAAACACAAGTTTATGATACTTACATGTTTTGGGCAGCAAGATTATCTTCATAAGTAAAAACCACATTGATAAATATTGAAGCGTAAATGCAACTACACTACTGTGGCTTGAGTACACACAACGAGGCTGTGAAGGCGGACTTGTAGGCCTGATGACGTTTTGTAGTCTCATTTAGCCACCTGTCAGCAACTGCCTTTTTTAAGACACGCAACAGCTTTATCGTAGAACAAAACCCACTCTTAAAAAAAACATTGACTTTGTGACAATAATGCTCACTAATTTCTGGGTTTTAGGAGTCACTCCTGGACCAGTCTTTATTCCTGTCAGCCCATTCTTACCATGAGGGTACACTTCATATGAGAAACACCTCTCACTATAACACAACACAGCCCAACAGCACCCACCAAAATATTCATCAAGTTGAATCAACACCTCTCGTAAATGGTTTCAACTAAAAATGCATTGTCACGGTCAATATACAGGTGGGAATTGATGGAATGTTTTCACTTGAGTCGTTTTAGCTGCTAAAACCAGTTAAGACGGACTCAGATCGTATTGACATGCAAGGGTGTAGGTTTGCATATGGTCCATAGGGACTAGTCACGACCAAAGTTTGGGAAAGACACAATTGTCCACACCAATATTTTGTTAATTTTAATTGCCTGTTAGAAAAAATAATTTTGCACAATATATTTGCAAACTGACTTTACAAACCGACTGTCATGAAGACAAGACAGACATTTAGATGAAACATTGTATTCCTGTTGCACAGCAGTGGAACGTTTCACATAAAGTCACACACTGAGCACAGATAGTGCAAGAACTATGATCGCTACTGTGTAAAGGGAATACTGCTGTTAAAAAGCACCTGATTTGTTTAAAGTGTTTGCAAACCAAATGTTATTGCCCTTTTGTTCATATAGCAACAATACACTACTTTTGAATCCATTATTGAACTTTGACATAACAATGAGATTAATCGCAAAAAATCCATGCAATTAATCGCGATTAAATATTTTA